ACCGCGAGTGTTACCACCGCCGGGCGAAAACATTTCAACGACCTTATAGGGATGTTTCAAAATAAGCATTTACTCCAATATCAAAACAGCTACGGAAACAATAAAAAGACGTGCATCATCGCGGACACAATGCCACCCACATGCGAAATTACACAGGAATGCGACGTACGGAAGAATGCGTGTTGGCTGCGAACATCTTCCAAAAAACTTGCCATCTCTTAAGCACGGGCAAAAACATCTGGAACCACTTATCGGAACCTCACCGTATCTGCATGAAGGTCCACCCCCCACTGCTATTCCAACCAACGCGTTTTTCTGGACCATTCCCATTCGCCTCGTAATTGTAGGGGTGTGTCTGTGATATTACATTGACCGCGAAAGCAGCAACGGCAAAAATACACATTCGTGCATCAACACGGGCATGCCCGCAGACGGCGTATAAAATTGCGTGCCGATTACACCAAGGGAACTCAGTGTTTTGACTGCGAACACGAAAAACCAGCCGTACACAACACTCCGTCCGGAGGTCCTGACCTCCTTCACGGAGTAAAAATGCTGGTATTGTCGAAATGAGGTGGACCATTAGAAGCATTCCAGCCTGAGTCAGTGGTACAAGGCCGTCGAAATCTCAAGGACTGTAGGACTCTGGAAGAAATAATCCGTCTTCCGGTCTTCATACTTTGGAACAACAATATGTACGTCACTCTATGATCATCTCGCTTCAGCGTGGAAACAGGCTGAACGTTGTGTACCTACCAACCTGGATATATCTGACACACTTCACATCACTCTCTACCTTCTTTCCGCATCGGTCAAATTAAGTCTAGACTGCGAAGAGTGAACGGAAGGAAAACTGTGAGTCAAGACCACATTCCACGTGGGTGCTGAGCCATGTAATGCGGAACTGACACCTGTTCTATATGAAGAGTTTACCTCCTGTCTGCAACATTGTACATTCCCACAGCAGTGGAAACAAGCTCTTGTCTGCACCGCCCCCAGGACCACACTTTTCCAGAGATTAACGGCGGATATCTGTGGCCAGCTGAGTAGGTAAAGTGTATGAGGTCTTCAGCGTGACTCACTCCTAACAGACTTCGGCAATACTCTGCTACAATCACACCATGATTTCCTACCGAGGTGGTCCACTGTCGCAGCTTTTGATTCCCACTCTTCATAGCTGGCCTTAGGCACCTAACAACAATCCAACGGGAGACATTCGTGCAGTCCTTGTTGACTTCCGCTGTGCATTTGACACTATAGACCAGTCACCACGGACAACTACTTCTAACCGTGGCCGACTTCGGTGTGAAGCGAGCTCTGTGGTTACCCATACGCAGGAGCCTGGAGGGCAGGCCCAACAAGTCCGTTGGGGAGCATGTCTGTCTAAACCCCGTGAGGTATTCGGCAGGCGTCTTAACAGGTAGTTAGTTATGTTTGTACCACTGCTCCTTGTCATCTGCATCAACCTGCTAGACACATGTCTACCGTCCTGTATGTTCCCGGTGAAGTATGCAGACGACCTAACAAACCGAGTTCCTACACTTCCCGGCCAAACTCAGAGGGCACTGGACGCCTATCAAAAAGTGGGCTGTACAATTCTCACTGGCACAAATGTGAACTAAACGAATGACATGATCATCAGTCCCAGGAGGAAGAAGACTATACCTGCGCCCCCACACCGTACCGCAGATGGTGACGACCCTCATAGACATGCTATGACTACACCGAACCGTACTAAGAGGCATGCAGAACTGAATTCCGTGGATCACGATTGTTTCGTATCTTCCAACCTGGTGTTAAATAGAGAACGTTATGCTTCTAACCGTATTCTTATTGTCAAGAGGTCGCCGTTCTGCTAGTAAGTTTAACTGCATTTTATAGTATCTTTGCACCTTCAGTCAACCCATGTCATGTCGCAATCTCTGTTTCCCAGGTAATGCTTGAAAATAAATTGAACTGACGTCCTAACTCGCCTTCCTGTAACTGTGATGACTCCTATCAGTCCGACAAACCATCATGAGCTCAACTCATCTTAAGTGCGCTAAATTCTGGATTCCCCACGTGCAACCCTACGATTTCGTATCTGCCACTCCGTAAATGTCATGCGGAGTAACTTGTTAAAATCCGTAAACCTCACTCAGGTTGAAAAATGGCCAGTACTGACCCTGTAGCGGTATCCCGCCGACTTGGGGGAGGAGGGTTGGAGTCGCCCCAAGGCTGACCCTGGATTTGCCGTTAACTTTTTCCTCCCGAATTGGAGGGTTACATTTTCCCGCTGGGAAACTCCCACTGTCTCCTCTCAAAGAGGACAGTTTCTTTATGTACGACTAGCTATGCGGCTACAAGGACACAAGAAACGACGTCTAACATAAAACTGTTACACCCTGTTAACGAAAAATGTTAACGACAAATCTGAACCCATCCAAGGTCAGCCCTGGGACAAGCAACCAACCCCTGGTTAGGGGCCTACCGAAGTAAGGGTATGTTAGGTCACCCCGGCGCCTGTAGCAGAGTTGAGAGGAGTGGGTGCGTCAGATTGCCAACAAACTGACATGTACAGAATTACTAGTAATACACTTGTGCCAATTTACAGTCGCTTAAAGCATGACTCCGGATTGACGCATGACACACGTATGACGAATTACCACGATTACGTCTAGCCAATATCCTGTTACCATTTTTGGTCATAACTAGAGGAGCGAACCCCCGCACCCCTTGTGCGGACACACTGCAAAATCCTGTCTTTTCACGAATAACTTTTATCTTATGGCCAAAACAAAAACGAAGTGGGAACCCCATCCACCTTCAGCTTTGTGCGGACACCACGCACACATACTTCTTCTCGTGCACAGCGTTTGCTGTTGGCCCTAAAACTAAGGGGGCGTGAACACTCAACCATATTTTTCCCTTCTTTCCCAAGCACAACGTTTACAGTTGGTCATGACGACATAAACACGAGATGGGCACATCCCTTCATCCTTTTCCACCCCGTTTCAAATCATGACAAAATTTACAGTTGATCATAACACGACTGGGACACCCCTCCAACTTGTTTCGAAATACACCGTATACCGTTGGCAAATAAACATGAGGTGGGAACACCCATCCACCGTTTTCACTTGTTTTCAAATCATCACCACGTTTACGGTTGGTCATAAACACGTGGGCACACCCATCCACCCTTTTCACTTTACAAATACAACGCTTACAATTTACCTATGAACAACATGCGATGGGGACACCCATCCACCGATTTCACCTGGTTTAAAATACAACGTTTGCAATTGGTGAAAAACACAAGGTGAGAACACCCCTCCACCTTATCCACTTTTTTTTTTCTAAATACATGGCCCTAACACGAGGTGGGAACCCCATTACACCTTTTAAACTTTTTTTTTCCAATATTTACAATTAGCCATAACCAACATGAGGTGGGAACACCCATCCACCTTTTAAACTTTTTTTTTAACATTGACAAATAGCCATAACACACATGAGGTGGGAACACCCATCCACCTTTTCACCTCTTTTTTTTTTTTTTAACATTTACAATTAGCCATAACACTGAGGTGGGAACACCCATCCACCTTTCCACTTTTTTTTCAATATTTACAATTAGCCATAACAAACATGAGGTGGGAACACCCATCCACCTTTTCACTTCTTTCTTTTTTAACATTACAATTAGCCATAACAAACATGAGGTGGGAACACCCATCCACCTATACACTTTATTTTTTCAATATTTACAATTAGCCAAAACATGAGGTGGGAACACCCATCCACCTTTTCACTTCCTTTTTTTTTCAACATTACAATTAGCCATAACAAACATGAGGTGGGAACACCCATCCACCTTTTCACTTTTTTTTTCCAATATTTACAATTAGCCAAAACATGAGGCGGGAACACCCATCCACCTTTTCACTTCTTTTTTTTTTTTTCCAATATTTACAATTAGCCAAAACATGAGGTGGGAACACCCATCCACCTTTTCACTTTTTTTTCAATATTTACAATTAGCCATAACAAACATGAGGTGGGAACACCCATCCACCTTTTCACTTCTTTCTTTTTTAACCTTTACAATTAGCCACAAACACGAGGTGGGAACACCCATCCACCTTTTCACTTCTTTCATTTTCCACATTTACAAATTAGCCACAAACGCGAGGTGGGAACACCCATCCACCTTTACCAACCACGCTTTACAAACACAATGCTGCAACTCGGTAAAGAAATGCAAGATGCGAACACTAACCATGCAGCACGCACGACAGCCGGCGGCTATGACAGAGGAGAACCGCGAGCTGAGGCTGAAAAGCTGCCGGCAGAGCTGGTGCCGACGGAGGCTGAGCCCGAGCCGGCTGAGGCCCCGGCTAGCCGGGCTATCGGCTGGGCCGTGGCCGGGCGGCCGGGGACGGGAACGAAGCTCTTTATCCAGCACTGACCAAAGTCTCCGGCGTAGGTCGAAAGGGGAGGAAAACACGCTCTCACGGGCTTATAAAGGATTCCCTGGACACGTGATAATGTCCAGGTGTTTAATTAATGCACGCGGACTGCTCCCGACCAGGTGTCGCCTCTTAACGACGCGAAACCAGGTCAGGAGCGTCCTCGTGCCTCAATTAGAATAGTAGTAGGGATTTAGACTCCTGTCACCATTTATGTGAATGTGTTTGAGTAAGAACTAATTATAACATAGCAGACCATATACGAAGGTAAACATTATGCATTTGCTTTGCAAATGTTACTTTTCTTGTTCAAAATTATATTTTTTCTCATCTTGAAAGTTCATCTGTGTTGGTAGAAATCATTATGAAGCAAGTTTAAACTGCAATTTCCAACACAACAAATTGGACAGGACAAATGTTTGACTGTACAACTCAAAGAATGAGCAATCCACCGCTTCCGTGACGTCACGCAGATAACACACGTGACTCCGTGAGCAGTGGATCATAGGTTATTTTTTTATTGCCATTATTATATTTTTTTCCGTATAGCACACGATTTGTCTGGAGAACGCTAACTCGGGACTCCGTACAGAGATCGCACGGTTACAGCACGAACTGAGGAGCCTGTCCAAACACGTGATGAACCACATGGAACTGTGTCACGCCGGCCCGAGCTACACCGGACAACTCACCGGACCAACCAGAACCAACCATGTCCAGGACTCATCAACAACGCCACAGGATTAAATCAATTCATCCAATCAATTTATTCAATCAAACAAACAAAAACGTACAAAAGCAAGAAATGCTGGTGCACCCCTGAATTGTGTATTCCATTTTTGCAATGGTTAAAGAAACAAGTACACGGAAACACACTCTTTACAAATATGCACAAACAATGACAGCAAAACAACACCAAAAATATCCTAAAAGAGAAAATCTGTCTAATATTGACATTTTCTGTAATTTGTACAATCATTTTCATGTTTTTGTTAATTTACACGCAAAGCCTTTGATACAACCCTGCAAGCTTAAAGAGTCGACTCTTTCTGCACACTATATGAATGACCATAAAGCCCAGTTATTACGCCCTAGTGCATTTTAACTACATACAGAAACGTTTAAAATAGTATAAAGTCACTGTCACACAATTATCAGAACCCCCCCGATTATCAACAAACCAAGTTTAGCGGTAGGTTGTGAATAACCTGGCCTACCTTCCGATACGAACCAAATCAAATTTGACTTAAATTTGAGACAAATTTGGCTACCAACAACGCTTTGACCCACCTAGCCTCAAATCAAAAACCAACCAATCCCAACCATGGCTCAACCTCCCATCTAACTCCTGAATGTTATAAACATTTTGAATCATTCAGCTGGCGCACTCGAACAATAGCTGACATAACCAAACACGAGCCAACCACATTCGACCTTTGTCCAACCCGGTATGGTAGTCCGGGGAGTTCGGCAGCCAGTGCGGGACACCATGTTCGGATAAGTGTGACATCGACAGGGGCTTGACAGTAACAGTAGATTTTCCCTCCTTTACGACAATACATAAGGCTTATGTACATTGTTTATATTAAAGAGTCTCGAAATTGTTTGTATGCTTTGCCTTCCTCATTCTGTCTATTCAAACCCACACAGGTGTGTGCGTCCAACTCATCTCCGATTGCAAGTCTGAGCCACTCCGTAATACTGTAACTGCCGTACTTTATTTCTATCCCGGAAGTAGTCTTGTACGGTACGTGGGTCTTGTAACGGCATTCAAAGTTCACACATGTACGTACGTTCAACATTTCAACTTTACATTCAAGCCAAGTCTATTGGAATGTGTATATGTGTGTGTGTGTGTGTGTGTGTGTGTGTGTGTGTGTGTGTGTGTGTGTGTGTGTGTGTGTGTGTGTATGTGTGTGTGTGGGTGCGTGTGCGTGTGTTTGTTTGTGTTTGGGGGAGGGGCTAACTTTACCGTGGGTATCAAATCGCGGAGAGGACGAAAGAGGCTCGGCAGCTAAAATAGGTTTAGTTTCCCAGGCTTTAGGAGGTACTTTTCCTCACCGAAAAGCTGCAGGCACCGTATTTTGTTACGTTCCTTTTGAGCTGTCGTATTTCATTTATCGTTCGGTGGTGTCGGAAAACCTGGTAAACAAGCCCCCATGGGAATCCCCGTTCTACCTGCTGACCCGTGTCACGTGGCATCTGGGTCAAAAGGTCAGGGTGACGTCACAGGTACTTTCCGTCCAAACAAGGAGGTTACCTAGCTAGCCTCTACCAGGCTTCATAGGTGATAGCAAAGAGTAGAAGTTGTCCAAATAGACAGATAACATGCATTAAAGGTTGGTCCGCTAAAGGAGTACAATTTTCCACTCCTGTTTGGCCAATTTCTACACTTCCCAGTCACTTTTGAAGGCAGGTAGATAGACTATAGAGGCTTATGTTACACGAGGAGGTTTAAAATCAACAAGTATTCTGTTACCTGGTTTTATACATCAAATTTGGGGTTTGCTAGTTGTGTCAGAATGAAAGGACGATAAGAAAACATCGTGTGTCTAGAGTTAGAAGTTCAAGGGTTAGGTGTAACAAGTCGATCGGTGTAATATAGGCAGCTGCCGCCGTGCTGCGTGCCTGCGAAGCACGTGTGTTACGCCGAAAGGCGGTTATACCCGTTATACAGATACAGATACAATATGACGTTAAAATGTGTCACGCGATGTAAAATACTTATACAAAGTAGATTGGAAATTGCTATTGAAAAACATTCTTTTTCCTTGTGTTTCCCCTTCTACCCCTACCACCTCGTTGAATGGATTCAACTTTGGGGACCAAATGACTTCATGACATTTGCAATCTCCAAGCAGATACATGGTGGCATGGGTAGTTAGTCTTCGAGCAGCTATACACAGTGGCTTGGCCTTCAAGCAGATACAGGGTGGCATGGATCCTGTCAATCCACATGTTTCAACAGCAAAGGCATTGGACGATTCCATTGCAGCATGGGGGCAAAGACCATGACTATTGGAACACTTGGACAGGGATGATTTAGGAACAGTCCATTTGTGCGGGAAGGGTATAGATTCATTTTTGTTACGGGGGATGTGGTGAAGCCATCTGCTGCATTTGCTCCAGAGTAAATGTCGGCCTTTTTAGTCTTACATATATATATTTTTACCATTACCTCTCCCTTTATGATATCAATGAAAAGCGACCTAAGCTCAGTACAGAAATCTTTCACTTCTCAATAAAGATCATGAGGCACACCCCTTCAGTTTCTAAGTGGTATGGTCCAGACAAATCAGCTGTAGTTTGCTGTGAATGTTGTTGTGACAGTCCCCGTGGTACTTAGTACTGCCCGGCGGGTCACTTTAAGCACACAAATCCCCATATTTACCCCTAAGCAACACACGTGTGAGGAGAGGAGAAAGGCGCAGCGCTAAAATCCTCCCACGGGATTACAGAAACGTATCATCGCCTGAGACTGAGAGAGTGTCTCCGAAGAGCCGGTCTCACAGTGTCTCCACGTTACCGCACCTACGCAAGATGCTGCTCGGGCGCGCCCTCCCTCTCACCCGCCAAGCACTCAACAAGGTACGTTACCCTTACTAGCAGAATTTGCAGCGATGTAGAGCTATAGTGCGAGCGATAGAACCATATTTCTCTCAGCTCTAACCTCGAACAAAGCCCTCCCTTCGAAGGGCACCTCTAGCTGCTCGTAGAAACAAAAGCAACTTCGCTAGAAGCCTGCACAGGAGGCTAATTTCCTCCGTCTTCCTGGAGATATATTAGCCCGCTAGACGGGTTTAATACATATGTAGGTCAGCCCATGTGTTACCCGCATTTCACCTGTGTGTGACCACAGAACGTTCGATGTTGCGTCATACATGTATAACATAACGTTCACTAAAACGTATGTACGTATATGATGAAATGATACCGATTTTGGGCCGCCATGATGTGGTCGTTATTTCTGACTGTACGCTTATAATGCCTTGTGTATATGCTGTAGACTAATCATGCCAGTAGCAAGGCTGTTTTCTGTGGACTCTCTTTGCATATTCAACCACTGACTGGGTCAAGGGAGAAAGAAACAATGGGCGATTCCAGATCAGTCCCTCCTTTAAAATTCAGGAAAATAAATAAAATCCAGAAGGCTGTCACCACTGCTTGACGTGCAGGCTGAGTTCTGTAGGTAGTAGCATTTATTATAGTTTCTGCATTATGCAATGTTATTCCTTTTAAAAAGGAAAACATAACTAACAATGAAGCCCCACCCCCCACCCCCTCCCCATCTACATGTACATACGTTAACCGCTAAAGGGTCGAAATATGCCTGAAAACTAATCTCTACCAGGCTACTGTTCAAATACACTAAAATTTAGCGAGAAAAGGGGAATAATTCGAGCGGGATTGACTCTTGGCCTGGCCAATTATTCTTCCATTTCTGTCCGAATCCTACTATCCATATACAATTGGTATACCCCTGTAGGAAGGCCTGTCGAAGACTGGATAACACAACATGGCGGGTTCACCCGCTAATACGCCACGCATGTTACATGTTACGTATGTGGCGCGGCTCGCGACTGTTTGTCCCTCATTATTCTCTGCCCGCGGAGCATGAAATGGTGTGTTACCGCGGTGAGTCACGCCATGTCGGCACCAGCTGGTGTGTAGCCTCCTGTGCAGGCCCCGCGGTGGTGGGGAAGAGTTTTTAACGCGTCATTTTATATAGCCGGCCATCCTACATAGCCGTGGGCGGAGTGGAACCTTCTCTCGGCGGCTATGTAGGAATAGGATGGCCGACTATATTAAAATGACGCGTTAAAAACTCTTCCCCACCGCCGCGGGGCCTGCACAGGAGGCTACCGGTGCGCCTGACGTCACTGCCTGGCACCGTTTGAACCGTAGAGGGGCCCCGCCAAATCCCCGGCCTATCTTCCACAGGATTATAGTATTTATAGATCTTTATACAGGTTACATCACAAAGGGACAGCAGCATAAACATTTTCAATCTACTTATGTTATGCACAGACTCCATATCTATGTACGTAGGCCAATATGTACAGGGGTGTCAGGGTATACAGTGCAATTTAGGAATACAGTGCAATTTTACTAGTATATTTTGGTGCAATTTAATGGGATACAGTACAATATGTTATCAGTAGTATACAGTGCAATTTTACGGAATACAGTGCAATCGTATTAGTATACAGTGCAATTTTACTAGTAAAATTGCACTGTATACTAATACGATTGTACTGTATTCGTAACCTTGCACTGTATGCTAAATACGGTTGTACTATATCCGTAAACTTGCACTGTATACCCTGGCACCCCTGATGTATGTAGCGCTTTAGAAAAGATAAAACATGTTAATGACTATCATGTCAATACGTTATTTACGTTCATATTTATGCAGGCATAGTTACTAGGAATAGACTAGTATTAATTATTGAAATGATCATATTGTCATTGTTGCCATACATTGTACCCTGTTCAACTGTCGAGCAATGAAGATCATTCATTCATGTATTTATTCATGTATTCTTTCATTCATTCATGTATTCATTTATTTATGTATTCATTCATGTATTCATTCATGTATTCGTTCATTCATTCATTCATTCATTCATTCATTCATTCATTCATTCATTCATTCATTCATTCATTCATTCATTCATTCATTCATTCATTCATTCATTCATTCATTCATTCTATAATGCATTTCTATCTAACATGTGCATAGCGAGGCTTCAGTGGGGGGGGTGTAGTCTTTTATTCACCTGATTACAATAATGTACAATTGGTTTTGTTTTGTGACAACCCCGTTTCCCTCACAAAAGGGACGACGTCATTTGGAAAAAATACGATCTCCCCACGCTGCATGGTGATATACAAGCTACTTGACTATGTATACGTTTCTTTGTTTGCCTGTTTGAATTTCACTTATTCATGAGAAGCTAAAATCGGCCTAGAGGCCGTTTTTAAATAAGGTTATGAGATATCAAGTGGGGGTCACACAAAATATAAAAAAGACATAGATTACATCATTGAAGTCATGTAAAATTCTTAATTTTCAAAGTAGAATATCTAAACACAAACATGCCAAAATGAAAAAGGTGGCACATAGACTACTATAGTCCGTGCATGTCCGTTAGTAATGATGAAGTGCCCGGCTGGCATTTGAAAAGTGGGATACTTGGCCAAGATACAGAGCCACAAGATACAAAAAAAAAAACATAAATAAGAACTTTATTGTACGACAATTGTACGTTTTACAATTTATGGCCTCGGCTATTGAACATAGTGTATACAAAAAAGAAAAGGGTATAGGTTTGTGTAATTATTTGAAAACTAGGGTAGAATGGTTTTTGATTGACCTAAAAGGGGTCAGACAGAGTTCAGTAGGGCATTGCTATATGTAGCGTTATTCCACAGTTCAATGGACAGCTAGGGAGAAAATTACTACTCAGCCTCAGTGTTCCATGCATTGGTACAATTCTCTTATACTACCAAAATAAAACACTGAAACTGAGCATGATCCTTACATCTGCTTGGAGATGATGTGAAGACGTCATTGGGAATCCTCCGTTGCCATGTGACTGTTGCCATGGTAATGACATATCTGGCCGTGCCCCTGTGAGGTTTCCATGGTGACAGCCTCAGGCGGAGTAATGCTGCTTGGGACCTAGCTAGCTTCAGAATTCGAATGTCAGGTCACCATTGCTGTATATAGGAATAATGCCAGAATAGAGACTACACTAGTTTTCACATGCATAGCCTCTACAACTCTAGTACAAGGCTTTAGAAGCGGCTAGAAAGAGAAGACATTGGCCTAAATAGACAGATAACATTCAAGTAGAGTTAGTCTTCTCTGGAGCGGCTAACTGGTAGTCTCTAGCATACTAACTACGCTGGCTACATATAGGAGAATATTTGCCGGGGGAAAATTTGGCCGCCTTGTACTACGGGTTTGACTGGCCGCGCAGTTCGGAGGGAAAGAAACTACCTCCCCGCGGCCGGACCCCCTTGGCCAATTTTACTCTTTTTTGCCGAATTCTACGATAAACATTCCCGTATAAAGGCCTGGTGGAGGCTAACTAACTGGCCTCGTTTAGCGGACCAACTCCCCTGGCATGTTATCTGTCTATTTAGACAAATTCTACTCTTTCCAGTCGCTTTTGAAGCCCTGTCATACACACTTAATCTAGCATTGTGTAATGATACAAATAGCGGCTGATCTGCTCCTCCCCCTTCTTAGAAAAGCGCCTTACTCAACAGATGGGCTGATTGTACAGCACAATACACGCACCCTGGTAACAACATGGTACAGATTAAGAAGCCCGCTTGGTGGTCTACTTGAAATTCAAAGGGTTTTTGTGGTGCAGTGAACTTGACGGCACACTCTGATATTCAACTCAAAGTTAACCTTGGATATCATTGGACAGCAAAATGATTGATGATAATTGATTATTAGGTGCCATATCAACGTTTGCTAAAACTACTTAGGCCTAGGAAAAAATGTTGTTTCCTGTTTCCCGACCGACCCTACAAAAAACGGCAGACCCTAGCCTTTTTTGTGGGACGAGGGACATCAATTTTTCAACTGATTGACCTTTTCTAGCTGCACGATTGACAACTGATTGATGAAACATTGTACAATCGGTTTTCCAACATTGACATTGAAAGTGAAAGTGTACTCATGCAAGTTTTACTTTGTTAAACTACATTGTATACGTTGGACCACTAGAGAAGTCTCTCAAAAAAAAAAAAGAAAAAAAAAAAAGATCCCTACCTACCATCCCTAATTTATTTAGAACTTAAATAGGAAACGCAGCATTTTTACAAGGCCTTGCAGCAATAGCAGGGCCAAGAGATATTCGGTGAATTGTGCTAGCGGGATTAATAAAATGCTATATCTGGATGTAATTTGATTTATATATGATTCCAGATGGGAGATTAAATAAACAATATTCAACGGAAATAGTTTACAAATCTAAACCAAAACTGGAAAGGTAACATTTACAAAGCAAAGTCTACCTCTACATAAATTATGGTCTCCTCTGTTAATTCATATACTCAAACACATTCATACATATGCTGCCAGGAGTCTAAATCCCTCCTGCTATAAAATTGCAACATGATGTAGCCCGTGCAACATGACGTCTGATTAAGGTCATTGACTTAATTGGTTCGGGGAAAAAGAAGAGGAAACAGAGCAAAACATGTACATGTTTTCCTTCGGTAAACATAACTAAGGCCACAAGAAGTAAATTTTATGGATGACATCCTCCATAGACTCCAAATATAATGCGATAGGGCGAAAACAAAACAAGGCGGGCAAAAAAACAAGATTCCTACATTTTCAAATTTTGACATAATAGACCTTGTTAAACAAGAAATGATACATGTATTGCTATTAACTCAACTTTTACAACTATTATCCATTGTCACTAAAAAATAAAAGTTTTTAATAATTGTACAAATATGTAAAATCACATATAAAATTAAAAGGAATTAAATACATCACTGCATCAAAATAAAAGACAAAACAATAAAAACAATAAATCAAAGCCTTGTATTGTCTCCTCTCCTCCCATTGATCTATCATCTACATCCCGGCATGGCAACAGAAATCTTTTCCCATTTTCGGCATGTTGACCACTGTCAACAAAATTTTTTGTTTTCTTTTTCTTCCAAAATCAGGCGAAAATCAATGCTTGTGCTGATGTCATCCATAACAATTACTTGCTGAGGCCTAAGTAACTAACTTGAGATCATTTGTTCAAACATCACAGGTGCCCCTACCGTCACTGGTGCGGTTCTGTTCATCAGAAACTAGAGTCATACGGGTCAACGGCAACCTGGAACTGCGAACGCGACAGAACGCAACAGAAAATGACTACACGTCGACAAAACCCCTGGTGCTCATCTTCGCTTGGATGCTACCGCAGAGAAAACACATGCAGAAGTTTGAGAACATTTACCTTGCTCGCGGCTGTGACGTCATGACCATCAATATCCAGCCGCTGCAACTTATGCTGCCGAAAACTGGAGCACAAGTCATCGCCAGCAAGGTTTGGAATTTTCCAAATATCTGCGGATCTTTTTGTAAACATATTGAAACACAATAACGTATCAGACAAAATTGTAGTGATAAATTCAGCATACTATAATAGAGGGTTAACGCCATATCCTCCGTATATATGGTGGGTTAATCCCTGGCCAGGTGTGTAAACCACTGAATAAACGATCGAGTGAGCGTAGCAACCAGGGTGGTTTATTGTGTTATATACGAATGAATTATTAAAAAAAGCTACCGTTGAATACGTTTTTAATACATAAATACAAAAAAGTTATTTACAAAGTATAATGGCATGGTGCAAATTGGTGTTGGATTAAATGATGTAGCAAGTAAGTGAGGACCTGGTCACCACATGGTTGAATATTTTTCGATTCTTGTTTAAGTAAGAATAAAGAGAGAAGTTATTAGTTTGGTTAGACATTTGCTTTCAAATGTTACCATTTTACCCTTATACATTTTTCCTATAAACGTTACATGAATTAAATTAGAGACTAGGCTTACTTATTTCACCCATTGCTACAGGTTGCTGATTTTGTTCACCAGCCAGAGAACGCCCGAAGACCATTGTTAGTTCACGCCTTCTCTGTGGGAGGTTACTTGTACAGGTTGGTCATTACATCCATTCAAACATACAAAATTGTTGTTTTAGTGCAAACGTACATTTCCCTTTGGTCATGAAATTGTTGTATTGCCTATTTTGTGTTAAAGGTGTACGTTTCATCTACAATTAGAAGTAACTATTCTGAGGGAGTCTGAGGGAGTCGGTCTGATGACTTAAACATTGACTATTTTCTCCACAGTGAGACGTTACTGAAATCTTTGGAAAACTCGCCAGAGGAGGGAAGTATGAAGGATCGCATCATGGGCCAAATTTTTGACAGGTGAGTTGTACATAGCTTCTTATGTCACGTTTGGTGCACTGATGGTAATGATAACAAGAGAGATATCTGTTTTTGTAGGAAAGCATGATTCAAATAAACTAACCTTTTGATTCGACAAATATATAAAAGAATAACTTCTTTGAAGCCCATGTCACATAAATATTCAAGAATTTGGCCTCCCGAATATTAGCCGAAAGCTCCCCAATCATGGTTAGAAGTGGGTCGGCGCAAAGTCGGCTGGTGTTCGGCGAGGTCGGCTACTATTCGGCTGTGGCAGCCAGCTGTTTCAAAATGCAATATTATGTTTAAAACATACGGGAGTTGGTTGGTCAGGAGGTTCGGACATATTTGGCAAGTGTTTGTCAGTAAGTCGGCGAAACACCAGCCAACCATTTGGGAATAAACCAGTGGTGTTTGGGGTGTGTTCGCAGGTCAAATTTGACTAAAGTTTAATCGTTTCGATTAGCATATAATAGTAGACGTGACATAAATCTGGTCAATCTGCTCCCAAACGTCAGCCAAACGTTATCGGATGGTGTTTGGGGGCAATATGGGGGAACGGTCCTGAATTTGTGTCAAGTATCCAAACTTTATCATTGAGTTCTGTTGCTAGATTGATTCTAGATTGACGTGCATCCAGTGTACGTACGTATGTGTATGGCCGTGTTCCCTATTATGAGTTCACTCTTCGACAATTCATCTTCCTCTTATAAGCATTACCTTTTTTGTTAGACTAAATTTTTGCTATATGATAATTTCTGTTTTCCAGTCCCGTAGACTTCGGTGGGATTCCTGACGGGTTGCCTGCAGCTATGTTCAAGAGTCCTCTGATTCGCGCCACCTTGCGAACACTAATCAAGACCTACATGGCAGTCATGTACAAACCGGTAACAACTTGAAAATTCATCTGTGCTGGTATACGTAGAAGTCATAAGTTTAAACTGCAATTCCCAAAAGAAATTGGACTTACCCTAATTGTCGACTGTGCAGCTCCAGTCTTAGTCAAGAAATGAGCAATTCACAGCGTTGTGACGTCACTTTATGCAGATAACACACGTGACTCGGTGAGCAGTGGATCATAGATTGCAGAAATTCTATGACGCCCCCCGTCAATGTCTATTTATTCCTTGTCGACTTTACGGAGACTGGAGCTGTATTGTCAAATTTGGTGAAGTCCAATATCCTGTGTTGGAAATTACAGTTTAAACTTGCTTGATAAGGTAACAATTTTCTCCGTTTGGTCCAAATATCGAATTTTTTTTATAAATACAAATCGACAAATAGCTTAAAAGCCGGCGTTACATGTACAGTCGTCTCGCAATTTTTATAAAAGGTAACCGAACCCAATTCAATGTTGTGGGTAGATTTCAGGTAAAAAATACGTTCGATTGGTGATTTTGAAATGGACCCTCTATCAGGCGGTCCACACATTTGGCCAAATGCAATTCAGAAGTACAATGTATATGCGTACATGCATTTTTTCTAATAAAAGTAGTCGAGTATGCTGCATAGATTGAATAATGATTGAAGATTAGAGGTTGTTGCCTGTGTGACTATAGTTTCATCACAGAGAAATTACCTCGATCGACCTTTATGAAATGTAGCCCTATAGGCCGAAAAGATCACTTTCGAGTGTAAATAAAGGCACTCGGGGTTAGTTTGTCAATGTTGTGTTCATCATGCAAGTGTAGGTTTGTAATGACAAACTTATTTTTGATCCCTCCAGGTAACTAGCAACTACATCCGAGCATCTGAGATCTTCCACCACAACCCTGTCAGATCGCCTGCGTTGTTTCTCTACTCCAAGGTTGACCCCGTCGGTAAGTACACACCTGTTTACCACAGACTGAAGGTTCACTTCATGTAGCTCTGTCGCTGGATAGTAGACGACTCATGACTGTCCATAACAATTAGCAGTGCAACCAATGATAGCATGGCAATTAGCGGTTCGACCAATGAGAAACTAGCTGCATGTCCTTCAAATATTTATACTTTTATTATTTCAATTTGCATCTGTACGTTTTGGTTAGTCATTTTGAATTTTGGGATGGTAATTAGGAAATACAAGCATGTTAGTGTTAGTTGTGATGTACACTTGTGTGATTTTCATGATAATTATCTAAGCGGTGTTTTTTTTGCGAGTTTGGATCAAATGTAAATTTTCCTGAGCATGACACGGTAGTATCGAACACCAACCGTTCTGTCATCTGTAAATTTCCTCAGGTACAGTGGCCTCAATTGAACGGGCAGCGAGAACATATGTCAAAAAAGGAGGTCCTCCGGTGAGTACTAATATAAAACCTGTGACATATCGTGGTGTAGGTCGATGTAAACATAACTGTTAGACTTGGCATTGTGTACATTAACAATTGACTCATGTACCTGTGTGCCAACTCATGCTGCTTATCATGATTGCCATCAAGCAATACGTCGTCACACGCAATGCCCGTGTCACACATTCTGAACCTTGTTTTAACCATCAACCAACCAAGGTTAGCCGGATTCTATTCAATTTCAATTTATTTGGGGTATCGATCTTGCCCAGATTTAGGCCATGCGCACTTTTCTATACAAATAGAATCAAATTTGAGTTGAGTTTGAGTCAAATTTGACGCCCGACCCAACCACTGCAGACGAACTCCCGACCACCAGCCAACTATAGCCGAACCTCTAGTCCACAACCGAATGTTTTAACCATTTTTGCGTAGCTATAGTCGAACAATAGCCGACCTCGCAGAATACCAGCCAACCACAACCGACCTAGCATGCTCCTGGCCAATTCCTAACCATGATGGGGGGAGGGGTCGTCAGTGTTCGCGAGGCCATATTTTTTTATGTTTGACATGGACATACACTAGACTTAACCTTGCTGATAGCTTAAGATCCATTCCCTGTCGTGTATCCACCCAGGTGTACTATAAATGCTGGGACGACTCTCCCCACGTGCAGCACATGTACAAACATCCCATCGAGTACGTGGAGATCATGGACAGCTTCCTCAGCCACCTGCCGCCCTTCGCCGGGAAGGAGGACGCCACCTTGCGGGACAACGGCAAACTTACAGCCTTCACCGCGCGGCAATAGAGCGGAGTCGCCGGTGCTAATTTCCGTCTCATATATGGTCGTTTCCATTTTGAAACGGTATAGACGTCAAATATCGATGAACTGCACGATTTAAAGGCATCCAGTGCAGTTTTTGGGGATTGAAAACCTGACTTTTCAAAGCCAATATTTTAGTCATTTATTTACCTACTGAGTTAGAACCACACTGGCCCAATCTACGTACTATATTGACCCTCATGAAGCAAAAATTCCCAAAATTCTGACGGAAAATGGTTACTGGAAGCACTGGAAGGGCCCTGGGCTGATTTGTAGAGTACCACCCATAGAATAAAGGACTCTTCTTGGGGCATGTTTCTAGCTCTGCAGTTTTAAATGCCCAAAGTATGAAATACAGATTTAGTTGTGCTAATACGAAGTAGTATGTGTCAATATCATAAAGATTGCCTTATTCAGAATATTCCAAGTTTTGCTGTCCTAAAAGCATTGGATGCCTTTAAAGCTTCATTATGAAACATGAGGACGATACAGAAGAACCTTTTGGTCATATCTTTACAATAAGTGTCATTTGGGAAGTGGAGGTGCCAAAATATTACACTTAGGAATGTGTTTAAAAGTTGGAAACACAGCTGTCAGCCATGTTTGTTTACATTCTACTGGTGGTGGTACCACACGACTGAGTGCAAATCAAGAAGCGTATTTTAAATGTAAAAATGTGAGATAACTGTACAAATATGATGAAAAGCTTAAGAAAATCACAATCAAACGAAGATTATTTAATTAAGATATTTCGAATTTTGGTGCAAAATGTTACATAATGTACCATTTTAATGGTACATTATGTAACATTTTGAACCAAAACTTGAAATATCGTATTATTACTATTAGAAGGCTCCATCCTGTGGTGTTTAAGAAATTTCGTGGTATAAAGTATTAAGATTTTAGGGTTAAGTTTTACCCCAGTTCGAGCTTGTGCTTTTGTCAGTTATAATACGCCTTTTTTTTCATCATGTTTTGCAATTGAAATTTACTTTTTACATGTTTTATTCGTTTTTGCACCTGAAAATACCATGATACGCTCGGGCATCGACCGTTGGCAACGTCCGCTCACGACATGGAAACGAGCTTCACCGGCCCGTACAAGGCTGCTTCTCTACAAGGTCACAATTTCCATCTTCGAGGCCGTTTGCGGGAAAGAAAAGTATACAATAATAATTTAATTGATAATGGATATACTTTGTGTAGATTGTCGGTACATGTTGGTATAAATTGTTTAGTTTTTTGCTCACGCAAATGACCCGGTTTATTGCATACAATGCAATAAACAATAGGCCAAGTCGGGCACAAAATATTAATTGGGGATCAAGCTTGCCATATTCAGTTAGCGTTTTGGACAAATTTTTCACCACTTTCGACCAATTTCTACTTTTTGAATAAGAAGCATAACGGAGACTTTTTAATTTAAGGAAATATTTTCCTTTTTTTTCAAAGAAAATAGTGCCATGCCAACAAACACCGTATTTCAACATTTCAATAAAGCAATATTGGTGTCCTTACATTTCTCCGGCCCATTCGAAGTGTCTGCAGTGCATCGATAAACTATAATCTGCGATAGAATGTAAAATATGAGGATCTATTCTATCTCCCACCTACCCTTTCTGTAAATGTGTTTCACAGATATCTACATCTGTTGTTTTTACATTTTTATGATTACGTGCAATTGGATTTGTTATGTACATTTATTACAAAACGTAATAGAGAAATGTTATGTTCTATACCACTAATGGTTTATCATTCCAAAATGTGTCTGGTGCAAAACACCATTGATTGGTCTTATATTTCTTCTATGGACGAAAATAAATGTACTGTACACACGTTAGCATGATTATACAACAGTCTACGTCGATATTAAAGCTATACAAGATATTCATCTACTTACAATGTACTTTGGCAGTACCTAGTATATATAACGGGAAGCTATGTCCAGGCATTTTATTTTCCAGAACATGCTTAAAACCTAGACCTTTTCATTTTTAAATGTTAAAACTATTTTTTGACATATTTTCATGGCCTTTTATCGGGCCTTTTTTTGTACTGGTATATTTGTACCCCAGCCGTTGGGTGGCAAATGGTAACTGCCTGGCAAATGAATACCGTATTGCCAATTTGACAATGTCCTTGCAGGCAACAAAGGATCTGCTTGGAGAGTACTAGGGTTCTACATTGAAAGTACATCGTCATTAACATTGTCACCATTAATGTTAATTTAGAAGCTGAGGACGAGGTAATTTCATTCAATCCAGATTGTGTTGCCACTAGTCTTATATCCTTAAAATATCAAACAGTAAGCACTGCCACAAGTGTCAAAAGTTAAGTTATACATGTATCATCATAATATCTATCAGAGAATAAGAAAGTGTATCTTTGAGGTAGATTTTCATATCATCTTCAATAAAACATGATGCTTTTAAAACTCTATGTGTTTGTGTGCGCAAGTACACGTTGTGATTAAGACTAAGCGTGTACAGGGGTGACTGATTTGGTCTAAGAAGAGTTATCCATTTTCACATATGAGCTACCAAAGAGGTGTTTATTGTATAACATAGAACCGTGCCTATCTAGTATAATGCCTGAATGGGTTAGGGTTAGGATCCTTGCGGCACGGTTCTGGATACTCTCTGCGTATCCAAGAGCGTACTAGATTTGCCCTTGTTAGGTTCTGGATGCGCGTTGGCTATCCAGAACCGTGCTTGAGCTGGTTCTAGATTAAGCACGGTTCTGGATAGAACAGTGCCTTAACCTCCTTGGTCCTGCTGAATGAATTAACCCTACCTAGACCGGGCTTTTTATGACATGGGGGGACCGGGGGGGCTCTTTTGACCCCCCCCTAAGAACTCGCGAACGGTATGTCGTATGACCACCAAATTTTCAGAGAATGGTGTACTAGTGAAAATTTATCATATCTACAATTTTTATGTCGTTATGACGTAATATGACGTCATTATGACGTCATTAATGTGATTTTATTGGCCAAAACCGTCTAAATAGGTTTTTCCCTGAAAACCTCCCTGGTATACAACATAACTTTACCAAAAGTGTTTATGACAGAATATTAGTGTGTACTAAGTCTTATGTTGCCCATAGCAACACCGGTGACGTCATAAAATGACGTCATGCATATTTAAGATATCCGCCATCTTGGATCATCAATCTTGAATTTTCAAAAATAGTTTTTTTTCATGATAAAGCCTAAAATACATTGTAAACATACTAAACACCTTCATTCAAACCTTTTTTGTAAAAAAAAATGGAAGTATTGATGAAATTTTAATGAAAATAACCCGTATATACCTGTTCTAATGATATGGTCCGCCATCTTGGATTTTGGCCAATGACGTCATCAAATTAGCATAAATTAGGCATATTTAATGATAAAATTTACATAAAATTATATGGGATGTTATTAATATTAGAAACCATGAGTAACTTGACATAAAACCCATAAAATTCTATTGTTGAAACAAAAAGTACTAAATTTAGCAAAAAATGCCTGTCAGAAACCCGTTGCCATGGCAACACAAAAAATTATTATCTTATTCCAATGATAGAGAATTGTTGCCAACAATATTTTAGGAAAAGTCACCAAGTTTTGTCGTTCTACGGCTAGCCGTTCAGACGCTAGGTGACATCAAAGTTGCCGCGGGCACTTTTAGCCCCCCCCCGGTCTAGGTAGGGTTAAACTATTTGCGGAAACGCTACTAGTAAGCTCTTGGTTGTTCCTCATCAATCATTTAAAAGAGAAACCTGGTTCCATCTCTGGAAAAATTTCCAGGAATTTGTCTGTAGGAAGGACTAGTTTTGCGTGCGCCTTGACGCTGGAGAGCAGGACGCCTTGCTCGATGGCACTCTGCGCGCTCTGGTAGGGATAGAATCCCCGGCAGTGCATCAACACGAGATAACCGTCCTTGTCAAACCCGGGAGAACCCGACGAACCGTGAAAAAACGTCGAGACGTGGTACGTCATCGTCTGAGGCTGCACAAAGGGGTTACCAAAATTCACACAAATCGTGCTGCTGTTGTCTACCCCCTCAACGGCACAGAATTCAACCTTCTTCTCAAGGCCACATGGGTGACCAATCAGAACGATCACGCTACCTCTCGCGAGATCTTCCGAGATAAATTCACCTAGCGGGCGGAGGTGCTCTAGATCATTAGCACCATATTTCCCCGTGTCTATCTCAAGTATAGCGTAATCTAACGCCTTATCCGAGGAGATAGGCTTTCTGGGGACGATATTAAAAACCATGTTTGTCTGGGTGTCTGATAGGAAGAAAGTAACTCTGTAGTTCTCGGACTTTTTGTTTGCAGAAATGTTTCTTTTTGTTGCAGCGTCCATCAGCTCGAAAACATGGTTGTTGGTCAGAACGTACCTTCTTCCTATCAGAAACCCAGTGGCGTTTCCACCCGGCCATTCTATCTTGCAAACAGACCTCCCTCTTTCCATGATAACATCAAGATTTGCATACTTAATGCTATAGTCTGTGTTATTGGCAAAGTTCTCGAAGCGGTCCACTTTCAGTTGCCTCTCGTAGTATCGTACCCTGCCTAGCCTCGCGGCCTCTTCGGCTTCATTTTCTGCCTCCATGAACTGGATCCCGAGAAGCCTGGTAGCGAGCTTCTGGACCTCTCGTAGCTCGACGATGTCGGGTTCGGTTCCAGCGGCTGGGCCTGCGCCGATGGCTTGCAGTGGTTGACATGAGGCGCCTGGGGGAGCTGCTACTGTCGCTGTCTGTGGAAGGGCTATCCTGGAGGTAAAATATTCAGGCAAGCATTTCCATAGAGATTTTATCTACTTCAAACATCTACCTTATGGTACACACAAATTCATGAATAGCATTTTGTTCAATATTTCTAGATTATTCTAATTGTACCGTTGTCGTCGTCTTACTTATTATTTCATTTCTGTGACCTTCTTTTTGCTGTCTTACAGTATAAACCCACACGCTGGGCACATGAAGCGCAAGATAGGCAAATACAGTTTTATTTATTCATCTAGTTAATATTCATTCAGTCATTGATTCACTATCTGTCTTTTTCTTTTCGGCATTTTATTTCAAATGTGATATCATCGGCATAAAATTAATATTAACTAACTATACAAATGTTGCATATTGCCAATGATATGGGGATTACATTATAGTGTCAAAGACGAAATGATACCTTTGTGAAGCTGCTTCTGTGGAAGTACGTGTGGTGACGTCTGCTGTAAGATAAGCGATAAAAAATGAAAGGTAACAGTTCATGTCGCATTTAACATTCAGATAATTTATTATTGATAAAAAACGATACGTATAATTACCAATATTTATCAGTTGTAAATGTGACATAAATTATTGTGCAAAAAAATTAGTGATATTTACAAGTCCTTTGAAAGATCTTGAAATAATTTTTTTGGCTCAAATGTATACAATAGACCACAAGATCCATCATCCGATGTTATCACGTCATCATTACGATTTTAAAAAAGACAAAAAAACGATTCCAAAATAATTTCTGTTTCTAGTGCTTCCACTTGAACTTTATAATGTACACATTTGATCATACATGTGTGCATATCCTTTGGTTGTGATGTATAACCATAGCTTTACCTTGAACAGGAGCTGCCATGATAGTCTTGAGAAGGTCGGGGTTGGTCGTCTTTAAGGACTCCGCGAAGACGTCGAACTCACGTCGCCCTTTGCTCGCTAGGATCTCCACAAGTTTCCTGGCCTTCTGACTGGGAACCTGGGAGACATAGCGGACCTGCTGGTACTCATCAGCTGTGATGGCGCCTTGGCTGATCTGTGGGGTCAAAAATGAGCTAGGCATTAAATACTTCTATATAAAACATTGGAATTCTGTAATCATTTACATGTTGAAAACAGAACTCATTTTTTTACTGTCTTGTACGCTATATAGATATGTACGCCAAGCGCGACTTATGACTTTGCAATTAGATAAGATATGTAAGAATATGTCAAAGCAAGATACTTTCAAATATTTGATGCCTGAAGGAATGAACGTATAGTGGTCATAACATGAAGTTTTGTTTCCATCTGCTTCAAAAAGAGAGAAGAAACGGCGACTAACAGTAGATGATAAAAAAGAACATACTAGTAGTATTTCTGCATTGCATGGACTTCTAGCACGTAGCGTTAAAATGTAGCGTCTCAATGTTTAATACTATGTCTCATATCCGCAGGTGCATATAATACTACTACTGCTACTACTACTACTACTGCTACTACTACAACTTCTACTACTAGTACTATTACTACTACTACTACTACTACTAATAATAATAATATTGCATAACAACTTTATTGCATAACAATTGTACAAATGAGAAAATATGGTATCTACCGTAGTGCATATTAACTAAGATTTCAAAATTTCATCTAACACTTACCAGATGATCGAGTATTGGTCCGATGACAGGCAGTCTGTGGGATATCTCCCCAATGTTGGTCCACAGAATCTGCTGATGTTCCATGTTGTTATAGGATAACAACCTTCAGCTCTTTTACTGAAAACGTAGAGTGTTCAGATATAGAATGATCGTCGACATACAATCTACAGCTAAAAGCATACTGTGATGATTTCCCTGCAATGAATAATAAAAATTAGAACAACACTGCAAATGGCATACCAATTGTTTTTTTTTTAAGAAAGTATAAGCATGTATTGTGGTGCCTTGCTGGACACAACCACTATATCGTTAAACGTATATCATTAATAATCCTTATTATTTTTAATGTTCATCATAGAGAATGAACTTACGAACGACATTTGTGTGAGCATAATCAACAATCCGGTACATTCGTATACCCATATAGCCACATGTAATATCGTATGTAAATAAACAAGAGATCGTAAAAAAGGTTGAGGTACTGTCGAGATACAAGTGACACACAAAAATGGAATGGATATGCGCTACAATTATTAATGAATGAATGAATGAAAGACCTTTATTGCACATTTATGCTCTTTCGAGCTAAGTACAGGTCATGAAGACAAAACCTAAATAATACTATTGTTTACAGGATCGACTTCTCGCTTCTTAAAACAATTGTAGATGAATGAACATATAGAACTTACAAAACACGGCTTGTCTAATTTCATAAGATATATAAATTTGTCTAAAGTATTCAAATATTTAAAACTAGGAAACTTATTTTGAATACAGTTAAAAAGAATATTTCGCTCGCTATTGTATAAAGAGCAATCTACAACAAAATGACACACATTAATCGTCACCATGCCGCGGAAGTGAAACTCACCTGCCAGACGTGAATGTTTCTTTGCGGACATTCGGGCAGTCTTTCAAAAACAACAATAGTATTTTAGTGAAAGAATATCAGTACCTAGTCCTTGGATACTCCAGAAAAATTGTGTTCTGAAGCCAGGTCTTAGTAACTACAACCAGGAAGTAGCCAATTTTCTTTGTACCAAAGTTGACCTTTGAACCATAACCTTGCCGGGCGGAACCATTCCGGTGTGCACTGGGGTCCCCAACACCTCGATCTTTCTTCAGCAAATAGAGACCTTGCTACTAGCCTCTACCAGACACCGCGGATCGCTGGAAAATAGTACAAGTTGGCCGAAATAAAGATTAGTATACCAGGGAAGTTCCGGCCAGAGTGAAGATCCAATTTGCGATCCGTGGGTCTCAAATTGGATCTTCACTCTGGCCGGATCTTCTCTTTTGGCCAATTTGTACTATTTTCCATTTATCCGCGGTGCCTGATAGTGATAGAGGCTAACCTTGCAAAGTACTGTCACTCAACAGTTTGTCAATCTTGCTGACAGTCTACATGGGTGCAGGTCAAAGATAATTTACTTTGGGCTACCGCCAGGTTTGCAGCGACGCCTACAATTGGTCAGGCAACAGGGGAATCCCCTTCCAAAGTGAGCGCGTGATCGCTGCATGTTTACGGCGTGATATGTTCAGCCGAGTGTTGTGAAACATTGACGTACGATCGCCAATTTACAAGTCTCTCCGCTCAGTGCTCTCGCGAGGACGTGGTTTCACCTGGTGGTCACAGTTTGTGCTTTAAATTTGTGCTTTTGTGAATTTTCCTATTAATTGTATCCTACGCACTCAACGAAAGGGAATAAGATTTACTTTTGGCGGTTATTAGAGGTTCCTGAAGAAAGATATCTGACTGTTCAAACTGGTCCGAGGAAAGTCGCGTGAACGTCACGAGTTCTTTAAAGAAAAACAGACGACGTACCGGAAGTTGTCTCAACTAGAGGAGAACAAGTCTACGTGTGCGCCATGTCAAGCCGTGGGGAGGTGCTCAGAATGGGTCAAAAGGAATCATATAGGATCACAACGGTCAGTGAATCGTTTTCTTTTTCATAATTATATAATAACCACTTTTTAAAGAAGGCAAGCTGCATTTTCTGTGTGAAGTTCCTTCGTCATTGACGTAGCGTTGGGGCCACTCAGACCACTGGTCTATGATACTAAACATGTATCATGAACGATGACTTCCCAAATCACGTTTGTGTATTCATGATCATCAGTAACAACAACATGATAAATTATATGTTATGATATATTCTTGAGCAAAACCAATCTTGTCTTACTTTGATGTCTATCGTCAAACGCCTTCCTCGGAGCTTCTGACTGCAGTCACCGAAACGTAAGCAACGTAAGACAAGCTCATGCAGGCTGTGTAAACCGAAAACTCCTATATCCTATACTCTACCAACCTGATGAAACAAAAGTTGCAGAGGTAGAAAGTTCGTGTCCAATTTTTGGTCGAATAAAAGTTGAAGGGGGCATTATTGAACCTCGCTATCATTATATCATTTACGTATCATCATCATCATTATCATCATTTACTGTGTTCTGCGTCTACACTCGTATGGAAATGTCCTGTAGCCGCATTCAGTCTTTCTTCATCTCTTTCCACCGTGCCTTCTGCTTCGCGAGCTCTCTAAGCTCCTTGAGTTTCTTTTCTGTTGTGGGAGAGCCTAGCCTTTTGTGCTTCAGGTCTCCCTTCAGTAGCCTGAGAAGGTTGATACAGTGTCTCCCCCTGTGAGATTTTGTCGTATACCGCCGTTTTATCATCATAAGTAAAAGGTTGCTCTAAATTTTTTGTTCTCTGGCATGCAGTTCAGTCACGTCCTCGTTCAGTCACGGGACTCGGGACTTCTAACCTCCTGGTCATGTGACTAAGTTTTTTAATCAGCTGAAGAAAGATGACGGACATCATCTGAAAGTTTCTGTGTATTTTAAACCTTGAGTCATGTGTATCAGTCTTGATCCTTCGTTTTTCTACTTTTTCTTCTGGATTAAGCATTACGTTTGTTGAGGTACGTCGCACAAAGTTCAATGTGTATGTACGTAATTATGCAAATATCCGAATATACCCGATTGGACTCTCGATGCGTGTCAGTAAATGACCGGTCATGACACAAAACGGGTGTACCGATGCAAAACTTTGGCACTTTGCCAGCCCTAGCCCTAGTTGCCAGTTGCCGAATATACTCGATTGGACTACGGAAAACCCCGAGACATGGGACCCTTTCCCCCGCTAATTACCATGATAATACCCGTCAGTGAATGACACCATACAGGTGTACATGTCAACATTAGCACTTTGCCAAACCTGGCGGACAACCTTATAAAAATATGCCACCAACTTGTTCTAACTTGTTGTTGTTACCAAGTCACGAGGCATAACTTATCATCGGTCACGAGGATAGATCTTATTTTCAGGGAGGAAAAAATAGTTAAAGGCCCCCGAAGCAATTTCAGGGCATGAAAAAAAGCTGAGTTGTTTGTAAATTTGCTTCTCATTTTTTTCATAATTTAGTAAGTTGAATAATTTCTATCACATTGTATATATCTGGTGTCTTTCGAATTCAGGCAAATATACGATGTCCGTGACAGTTTCTTGTTTCGTACCATAGGCTGGTTCTAGCTTTTGGTTGGTGGTAGCTTATTTTTTTAAACTATTTCAAACGCTACGAATGTGAAATGATAAAGAAATATGAAATGATAAAGAAAACGTGCTTAGAAATTAAAGTAAGCAGATTTTCTCATCCATTTTGCCGCCTAGAGGTAACTTGGAAGACTTTAAAGGGAATTTCCATTTAAGGTTTCACATCGGAACTAACAATTATTCGGGCACTATAACTTTCATGTTTTCTAATAAGTGGTGATGGAGCAAAATTAAGGTTCCTTTGTTTTTGAACACAGGTGTTCCTGATCTTGCTGCATGTAGTGAGGGGAGAGATCTGTACAGAAAACCAGTACAGACCCTTCTCCCTGCCTTGGTGCTGCACCAGCAAGTGTGGACCAGGTTTGACCAGGTTTTTTAAATGTCACACACTACTGCTTTACCGGAAATTGATAACCTAGTACTAGTAAGCTAGAATACATGGTCTTTTAAAAGTACATAAACATCTGCTTAAGAACTAGAGGTCAAATATGAGGGCTCCGAAAAACTTTCTGCATACCTGCCCTGTTGCAGCATTGTAAACGTGCCTGCATTAGACTTCTTGTGCCATTTAGAATTTAGGAAGTATGAATTATACTATAAAAGTGTTCAGTAACCATTGTCATTATTTTTTTACCTTATAGGTGGTTATTAATAAAGAGTCACTGCAGCAAATAAAAATCCACACAAACCTTCATGTGTATAATATAAAACCAATACATGGACCGGTGGAGTTTAGGTGCAGGTAGACATCAGAAACACATGCGCAGCTCAAATTTTACCCACACTATCCTGTATAGACTGTGCTGTTTCGAGCAAATTTATGGAATTTCAAAAATACATTTCTGCCCGACGTTACTTCACTGGTTGCTATCTTATCTTGACACAGGAACTCGCATTACACGACCATGTGATGAAGATGACGAGGACAGTACGGAGTGTGAGCCGTGTGGGGAGGGTCTGTATAACCCGGGAAGAGATCAGGACAGGTATGACACTCACCTACACTTTTCCATCAACTATCTGTTCCAAACCATGAGCTGAGATAATCTCTAACCAGACTGTAAGGCAATAATATATGCAAGATATTATCAACATTTTTTATTTTTTTATTTGTTTCGCATAACCTGTAAACCGTCTTTAGGCGTAAACGACCAGTCTTGTACAGCGTAAGTACAGTCTGTGTAAGACCGGACTGTACGGTTCGAACCACACCGGGAAGGTCCCCTACTCTTTTCGGACCACCATTTAACGTCATATCTGAGGGACGTCCCTAACCTAAGCTAGGCAGGAAAGTATCCATTTGCGTAAGAAATGATACCAGTGCAATAGAAAGAATAAAAATACGTAAAGCTTTTAAGCTAAAACTTATCTGCTTGCACATGCTTTAAAAGAAGAAACATTGAATTTGAAAGTCCCCTCAATGTGTTTATAAATAGATGAATATCCATATGCAAACGCATGTGTCGGGACTTTTCGAAGATTAAGTTCAAGGCAAAAAGGCAAAGAGGTAAAAAAAAACAACGTCAAGTCTATCTAGAACAAACTATTTCGATCTTCTAGCAAATAGCTAATAACAATCAATTGAGATATCGTTACTATACACAGTTCTGTTGTTTCCAGGTGTACCCCAAAAGACCAATGCAACAGCCCTAACGAAGAAGTCAAAATGCACGGTACTGACAGGACAGACAACGTGTGCCAGTGTAAGGTCGGCTCGTACAGGGAGTGGGATGTTTGTCGTCATGGGCCCGTCTGTAACCCGGGTACAGGGGCCACTCGGAATGGTAAGCTGTGGTTCAATAAACACATTTGTATTGACGACTGCCAAACCATTAAAGGCATCTAATGCAATATCATGGCGGCAAACAAGAAATATTCTACATGAGGAAATCTGTGTGGTATTTAAATTTACTGCTGTCATTTCTTAGCACATTTTCGTCCTCATTAGAACCAAGCTATGATACGAAACAATCAACCGTTTTTCTTTACTGCTATTAGTAAGAGATATGGTTAACTCAACATACTACATTGAAAACTGGTCAACAGACGCTTAACTTCAAAATCCAGCTTTCCTGTCCTGAAATCGCTTTGGGTGCCCTTTAAGAATATTCAGTAAACATTTCAATTTGAAAATGGGTCCACTTCTGAAAGTGATACAGCACATTTTCTGAGTAAGTATTTCTAACAAAAGCTGCAACATTTTTTTAAAACAGATAACTTGTTCTATATTTTCCACAGGAATCTGTGAGACTTGTCCAGACGGGACTTTCAGCAATGAGACTTCCCGTACTCAACCGTGTATGGCATGGACCATGTAAGTCAAGCTGTTCCTTATATGCTCACATTTCTAAACCAAAAAATGCCTCGATACTTTAAAAAGAAAGTTTAAACTGCAAGTTTTAATACCCATTAGTGAATATTCGGTGGTACAATTCCAGTATTTGTTAAGGAATGAACAATCCACCGCTTCTGTGACGCCACGTTATGCAGATGACACATGACTCGGTGAACAGTTGATAATAAGTTTGAAGAAAGTCTGTGGCGCCCCCCGTCTTTCTTAAGTGATGCTTGCAATGCCCCGATGCAGATAGTCTCTTATTAACACCTCGTGGGAAAAAAAATATACATTTTTTAAAAATCCATATTATTAAGCTTTCATACAAAGTAGCCATGTGTAACTCCCTTACGTTTTAAAAGGAACACACTATAACAAATAACTAGTACGTAACAGTTCTAATACAACTACAAACTTACACCTAAACGACTTACAAGGAGCTCCAGCCGAATTTTTTAGATGCAAGTTATGCACAGTATGGAAAGCTGTTCCGTACCGATATGGATCTATATGTAAAAGTCAGATCTTTTTTTAGAGCGTTTGTCAATATTGTGATACCTACAGATCCCAGGGACTTTCGTCCTAAAATAACAATAACATAGTTATTGTAATAGAGAAATTAGATATTACATAACAAATCTAACATGGTTATCTTCCTCTGTATATAGATGTTGGAAACTTGGATTTGTGCAGAAGGAGGCGGGAACAAACATCAGCGATGTCATTTGCATATCACGTCTTCCTCACAGCACACGGCCATGGGAAAAATACAGCAGTACGCACATTTTTATCTTACCTTTTAGACAAGTGCTAAAACGTATGTATTAATTAAGATATGCTGAAATCTTATTTATTGTTTTGTGATTTTATATGTGACAAATTAAAAATCCATTGTTGTGACAGCGATGTAGGTATCATTTAGTATTCTAATTGTTCACCTGCAGTGTTTCTATTTTCCTGTATATATGCCGATTATTGTCTGTGTCACGAATAAAGCCCCTGTCACGCATTCAGAACCATCATCCGTCCACCAACCAATCAATCCTAAGTTGAGTTAACTTTGACTTTAAACACGCCCCGACCTCCGCATTCCTTCTCTCAGCAGTAGACAACCTCGCTGAACACCAGGCAACCACAGTCGACTTTGCCCCCAACGTATTGCTATCATCGACAGTGCTCGGGAGACCATGTCTGGCTATGTATAACAGGGACTCAAACATCGATATTTGTGTCTTTTTGTGTACAGCGACTGCAGAAATAGCCACACTACCAGTAGCTGTTTGGGTCGGACTGGGAAGTGTCGTGATGCTGGCTTTCTCAGTTTTCACCATCATCGGCGGCATATGCGCCTGCAAGAAGAAACATGACAGACCAGGTGAGATTATATATTGTAATTTATCTGTTGAAGTATTGATATAACAGGTTACTATGACATTTTCAAGGTGTCAACCCTGAGACCAGAGTACACCAGACTGAAAAGCTCGAATCACTCCTGAAGTACACCTATTTATACATGTATATCTATTGTCAAGTGGCGCTGGCAAAATAAGTTGCTTAACTTGAGTGCAGCGCCACTTTGTCTTGTAAATAAAACATCCGAATAAAAAAAAAGTACACCTGAAGTCTTATAATTTCTACAAGTGTGGTGGTACTTTTTACGTGCCCGAATTGTGGCGCTCCTTAAACATGGAACATAACTAGGAGACCACCTTGTTCTTGCCACCTTGTAAGACGACACTGTAAACTGTCCGTACATGACCTGTTATCTATAAACTTAAAAGAAAACGTAAATTGCCTCCTCTTTATTTTTAAAGGCACTGGAGTTCGAGACGAGGAAAAGGCTTTTACAGAGAAACATCCCAATGGCAATGCACTACCGGATCAGACATGGGTCGAACTTGAGGAACAGAACACAGAGGTATAATTTCAGCTCGCACCGATGTTTAGATGTTATTCTGCATTCATTTAATTGAAAAAAACTCAATCACGGAACTCGCTTTGCTCCCTGGCCCTCTTTTACACTAGATAAACCTAGGGAAAATTCATTGACAAATCATTGTATTATAGAGCCATATAGTATGGAATCACTTACCATTGCAGATAGTTCGCCTATCCTCAGAAACTTTTAAAATGGGCCTCTGTCCCCTCAATGGAATAGAAACTCGACTGTATCAGCAGTAATTTTTTAACAATTGTGTACTAATGGGAATGATTTTAACGTAATGGTTATAGTGTTATATGGTAATATTGTAATGCAGGAAGATTTGTGTTGTGCCCGATGAAGATTTGTGTTGTGCCCGATGATTTTCTGAATCAAGTTTCAAAATTGAAATGCCTTCCTTTTTCGGCATTTGTTACTTACGTTAACGCTTTGCAATATCTTCAGGTTCAGAGTATTACATCAACTTAGTGTATGCTATTACCACAGCATCAGGTAGACAAAGTGTAAAAAAAAATATTTGATTAAAGTGTGAATAAGTACATGTCTTCCCTCTTGTTTTGCTTTAGGAGGAAACGCAGCCCCTGAGACCAGGTGTTGGTGATGAGGTAGACATGCGGCCCACAGAGCCGTGTTCTCCACCCGCGGTACGCGATGACGGTTTCATCACGGGAGACGACAGCGACAGCGACACCCTGTCAGCACTGTCCGACATCACACCTGCTGCCAGCGAAACAGACATCAAAACGTCGCTGGGACAGGAATTCAAGAACCCTGCAGCTATGCCAGGTACTACACTACAACTCACAATATAGTAGCAAGAAGGATTTACATAAGACTTATTATTTGGGCAAAGAAGCTTTCAGTCCAAATCCGCCCTTTCTCCACCTACCAAAGAATTCGAAGTAGCCACTTTAGTAAAGCTTCAAAGGTCAATACAGATCACTTGACTAGTTTCCTACTAGTATATTTGGAAACAAAAAGTCCGACTATATCATTGGAATCTTTTTTCGGAATTTTTGAAGAAATATCACCTACTCACTTCCTTACTTTCTATGGTCATCAAGACGAACATTATTGTTTTATGTTTTTTAAAACATAAAACAACTCTTTTTACTATCAAAATAGTTATCCCCAAAGATACTTTCGTCAGTCTGGATGATAAAAATTTATGTAAATGACTTAGAGTCACCCGTTGGAGTTTGTTGCTGGTATTATTTGACATCTACAATGTATATCTATTTTTTAATGTAAAAAGACATCGTTTTATATTCTTTTCCAACCTAGTCACAGACGACATGATCACCTATCTCGAACAACATCTGGGCAGGAAGTACCTGGCTCTCGCTCGGAAACTTGCTTTCAAGGATGGGACAACCGGACTTCCGAAGACGGACATTGACTCCCTCAAAACGTGCCAGATAATTGACGGTAAGGACAATTTAGTATATAGATTAAATAAAAATAGTATCTAGTCGCCTTTTTTGCATACATTGGCAAAACCATCAACCTATTTTATGAGTTTAATATTATCACGATATCCAATGATCTAATCTTTAAGCGTACCTTCAGCATAAGTTAAGATTCCATTTTTGACTTTAATAAAGAAACACAACCTTTACGTATGGTTTCAGGAGTTCTTAAAGATACTATTAACTTAAATGCAATACTACGACAAAATGCATTCGTTGATGAAAGGTGGGGAATTAAGTTCATATTCTTGGCATCTTAGTGCCTTAAATAGAGGTTTTTCCTCTGTTCCAACCAGATATTTTTGGAAGTGAAAGCATTTCGAAGAGCTTGCAATGTCTTTTTTCATAATTTGTCACAGGAATGCACGAGGCCATCAGAAAGACTGTTGAAACATGGAAAACCAGGAATGGGGACTGGGCTAACTTTCAAGGACTGCTTAGTGGACTCCATGAAGCCGGCATGGATCATATGGTGAAACATCTTTGTAAGGAATACAACGGTAAGAGATTTGATTTTTTTAAGTTCGAATCATTCATTCTTGATTTTTAGATGTTTGCAGTTTGATACATTTAAGTTTAGTCTACATGTGTTTGTATTTAATTATCTTTTTTCCCAATTACAGTTAATGCGGCTACCATTGTCGACGACGATGGAAACTGCTAATACGAATAAGGATGATGCTTGAAACTGCAAAAAAAGATGTGAATATTCGTTAAATTATAATTTAATATACACTTTTCTTGACCCACATATGCTACTATGCAAGGCGAGGAGTTACGTTATGTATGCCTGTTAAAGGTGTTATGAATTGTTACACAAACTATTGAAAATGTTACAAACGATTACAAATGTGTTACAAATGTAATACGACAAGATAGTATATATTACACAAAACGTTGCAAACATGCTTTTAATTATGTATGTATGTTATATTATTACAAAAATTATTACAAATGTTACAAACTATTAGAAATGTGTTACAAATGTTAAACAAAAAGATTCAGAAAACGTTTTAAGTTGCAAACATGTTTTTAACGTACATTTTTTTTGCATCTCTGTTCTTTATTGAGTATAGAATACATGTGTACATAGATGATAAACCGTTACATCACATTTATCAATTTCTGTCTGTTTGAACAAATCGTTCACTTAATTACCCTGACAAATTGTCTGTCTGATACCTTTACATTAATGGCAAAAGATACAACTTTTTTAACGTACATTTTTTAGCATATTTAGCGTGTTGAAGTGTCTTTTAAAGATAAGTTTCTGGAAGCAAGATTAGTATACGTATTTCAGTCGCAGATCTATGTTATTTTCCTAGAGTTTAGTACCAGAAAGGCATCTAGAAGATGTTTTTAAAAGAACTATCTGTGTTAACGTAATGCCTAGAAAAAGAATACCTTACACTGTGAGTGCTATCTATATATTAATTTCATGGCGACAATTACTCATTATTTTTTCGTTGATGAGATGTGTGTACCTTTTAAAAGTGGATATAAGTAGTTGCTTCTATCAATAAACATATCTCTGAATATGATGAGTCTGTCATATTGCTAAATAATCTTTTAATATTTTATTAATCTGTGTCTTTTCACTACCAATGATATAAATCTATTTGAAAACACATTCTACAACGCGGGAGATGTTCTAACGTGTATTAAGATGACCAGGTCATTGTCTTTCTAAAAATAAGCATTGTTTCTGAACGTATTATCAAATTTTCCTATCAGACCATGTGATTGTGTTTTAGGCCACACCAAGTAAATTTTATGGATGACGTCCGCGCGCGCATTGATTTTCGCCTGTTCCTAGAAAAAAAAAAAGAAATTCCGCTTCCTGTAACTAAGAGTCACAACAGTGCCGCAAATCGTCAGATTGATGTGAAACCCGTAACGCAAAAACAGGACAGGACGACAACTGCTGTTCCACCTGATTTATTGCTGTTTTGATGATGAATAAAAGACTTCTTGCTTGTTACACTGTGTCACCTCATTCAATTTGTGTCCTAATATTTGTCGTCTTAGTATATTTCTAATCTAGGCATCAAGGCATCTTGTTTTTGGGCCCTTCTTGTTTTTTTTTTCGCCCTCTCGAATTAGATTTAGGGTCTCCAAAGGACGTCATCCATAAAATTTACTTGGTGTGGCCTTACCTTAGTTTGTAGTTATCTGGTGTGTTCTTCTTTTTCAAAGAAGTAAAGCCTACTGTGTGAATATGCATAAACTATAGACTTTGCCGAATGTATTCGCCAGACTTTATCTCCAAGCAGATCTTTTGTTGGCAACAAAGACAGTATGAAATATGCCTGGTAGTAAGAAAAAGACACGTACACCAGTACAAAAAACAAAGCCCCGAAAGCAACGCATAAAAACAAGTCAAAGACAAGCCTAAGCCTAAACCTTAGCTTGGACAGTATGGCATACTATGATAAAGTCATCCAAAACAAAGCCGCATACGTAGCAGGGTACGTAACTTATGACGTCACTAGTGGCAGGCGCCTTAATTCGACCTTCTTTCATGTCTTTCCTTGTCACGATCAGTTCTAGATCTAGTTAATTAAATGTCGTTGAAGTGTTCTGAAATCATATAACCTGTTGCAGTTCTAATTTCTTACCATGGATAATTGAAGGTACTGATGCGTCGATGAGTTTATGCTTGAACAAGACGCCCGAATCCGCTCCATGAAGATTGCGCAATCGTGTGACTCAGGGAAATCCCCACTGCCTAGTGACTAAGAGCTAACCTTTGGAGCGGGGGTGGGGAGCAATCGTGTTCAAGTAAACACAGTACAGGCTTGAGGAGGCAGCTGGAAAGAGTAGAAATCGGCCAAAATAGAGAGATAAGCATGCCAAGGGAGTTTGGCCGTTGAGAGAACAGTTCGGGGCGGCATGCTTATCTCTCTATCTCCCTTGGCATGCTTATCTCTCTATTTTGGCCGATTTCTACTCTTTCCAGCCGCCTCATCAAGCCTGGTAGAGGCTACATTATGACTAAGAGTCACAACACTGACGTTTGAACTAAACTACTGACTACAAAGTTAACGTCATTGCATATCTATATAGACGCTATCTTGCGGTTGATCTTTTCATTGCTACAGTAACATCATAACTACGCACAAAGCTATTATTATTATCAAACCAAGTGTGCAAAGCGTTAAAGAGAAGTGGTCTTAGATTACACATATTGTCACCTTTCTCCGAGGAAATGTTTCTAATAAGCATATAAAATAGCACTTTCAGGCCTACAGATATTTGGTTTCCGATGAAACTCATGTCACTGGATGTTTACAGTTTGGAAAGTGACTTATACCAAGCTAGGTGAACGTCCGCTAGGTCATAGAACTCCAGTCAAGGTTTCACTGGTGCTGTTATCGGTGTCTGTGACTGTAACTGATTCGGTATAGCAGGTATAACCAGCCTTCAGTGTAACACACCAGCGTCGCAGGCACGCGGCGCGGCGGCAGATGGCTACTTAACACCAAACGACGTGTTACACCTAACCCTTAAACATCTAACTCTAGACATTGTTTAAAGCTATCTAATGATATTAAATGCCTCTGCTGTACTTGGTGACAGCGAGTTCCACGGTGCACTGTGTGCTTCATCAGATATCTTACAGATATCAACTCATTTCAGACATTAAAATCTATAAATATATTTATTAATCATAACGCATATGATCTGTAATTATTCAATCACGTAAACATCAGGCTTGCAGGAAATGTATGACACATCCTGGCACTGTGCCATTTTCTTACCCGTGTTGTCATGTGTAATCACTGTGAGTGGGTCGCATCAAGTCTTTTGTTCCCGATAGAACACACGTACATGTACGCACGGCGGGGGCTCACTTTTTATAATGCGATTCTAATTGTATAAGATAAGATGAAATAAGTGATCCAAATAGAATGCTAAACAGACCCTTGCAAACATTGTCAACACGCGCGACGTTAAGACTCACCATAATGGGAATCCCAAAGCTGACTCAAATATTGTGACGCTGTGAGTAAGGGAGAGTTCCCAACTTCCGGTCTTGTGACTTCTGTGGGTAACTTGGTTCATGTACAGACGTACTAGAGGCGAACAACAGTAAGGCCATGTTGATTTGATTATATGGATGATATCCGCGCGCGCAAAAAAATTTCCCGTTTCCCAAAAAAATACAGTAAATCGTACAAAACAGTTGCAAAATGAGCAAAAATAAACCGTAAGTTGCAAAAAAAAATATTAAAAAAACCATGCATGCCAATGCCAAAATAAAAAAAAAACACGAAAATTTAAAGAGTAGATTATTCGCCAAATAGTATTCTGTGTCATTTGTTTAACCTTCATGACCACGTAGATGTCATAATAAAAGCATTTTTTTCAAAACTCTTGTTCGCATGCGCGCATCAGTTTTGGGGTTCCTAGGGGATGTCATCTATATAATCAAATCAACATGGCCCAAGTTGTAAAGACAAAAAGGCAACGGCATTCACAGAAGCAGGAACAGACTTGCCCCTCCTCTGTCAGATTTGTCAGACAGGTGAGTATATTATGATCGCTTATGTTTGTCTAATATATGTTTGACCCACCGTAGCTACATTAAACGTCACTCTGAGTCCGTTATCATACAGTGTAAAGTGGTATTATCTCAGTATATATAAATATATAGTCTCCACCAGACTTCTTTTGCGGGGTGAATAAATCGTAGAAATCGGCCTAAAAAGGGAATTAATTGGCCAAAGAAGTTCCATGGCCGGCTATCTTCTCTGGCCAATTAATACCCTTTTCTGGTGGAGTCTAGTATATATATATATATGAACATATGCGTAAATATATCTCGTGAATTTAGTACCAGCAATATTAATGCATACATATCATCATAATGTCATGTATCCGTTTTTAATATTGGGCTAAAAAGGAGGAAAACTATAGACAGGAGCGAAAAGAGTTTTCTATTTCCTTTTTTTTCTGCTTTTTTTCTTTGTGAAGTTTTTTTTAAGACTAGAATGCTAAACAGAGCCTTGCAAACATTGTCAACACAGTAATGTTAATTTGATCTAGGGTATCCCTTTACATGGGTTAAAATGACGTCTGTTGCCCTCAAACAATCCCTACAATTAAGAGAGGTAGTCCGGGAGTGACGGTATCCGGGGCTGCGGTTGAGTAACCTTAAGAGAGGTTATCTCCTCTAAAGATAACGACGGCAGGAGTTGACATGCGGTACTGGCAAACGAATTCCAGATTGTTTGGGGGGAAACCATTTATGCATCCAACACAATTTCTTATTAAGGGCGATGAGGACATTTGTCTTCTACTTCCATTTCATAGCACATTTTGGTCATCATTCAATACTTGAAGCGTTTGAAATAATAGTGCGGGGTCCGCCCATAGATAATTAGCCTACGATACAAATACGAGCATTTGTTTTTCGTTACTGACATCGCATTTTTGCCCAAAACATATATCATATGACATGGCATAAGACTCATTCAGTTACTAGATGGAAGAAAATTGAAAATTGACTTTGAAAATGCAGTTTTTTCCCGCTTGTATTGTATTTCTTTGTTTTGACATGGAATAAATCGCCAAAAAAAGTGTAGGGGGATTCCCAGAGCATGGCGACACGGATGTTCACATCGTGGCACGGAGAAGGGCACATTGGTGACTGACAAATCGTCCAGATGACTAACAAACAAAGCTTCAACTGCCGACGGAATCACCCCTAGTTGCATTTGGGGTAAATAGCAGTGTGTTAAGTAAGGTATAAAACAAAACCATTTCATTTACCGTAATTCAGTAAACGTTACCAAAGCGTTGGCATACAATTAGTCTGATGTGTTTTACAACCATTTTAAATGACGTAAAATTATGCGACTAAAAGAGCCGCGACGTTACGACGCACCATGTAACGGGAATCCCGAAGCTGACTCAAATGTTGTGACGCTGTGAGTAAGGGAGAGTTCCCAACTTCCGGTCTTGTGACTTGTGTGGATAACAAGTTGGTTCAAGTACAGACGCTAAGCACGCTTTGTAGGGCACAAAGGCAACGACATCCACAGAAAAAGGAACATCCGACTTTGCCCCTCCGCTATCAAAGTTGTCAGACAGGTGAGTATATCATGCCCCCCTATGTTTGTCTAATCTATAGCTATGTTTGACCTACCGTAGCTATGTAACAGTGGGGTTCAAGTGACGTTATTTGCATGATGCATTCAAATTGGCCCGGACGTTTTAATGTAGAGGTTTGAAATTGTGCGTTTCTTCGTAAACTGGCGGCCTAAGTTCAATTCCCGGCGTCTAGGGAGTCAGGTGTTTTACTCGTGTTTTCTACTCGTCCCAAGTGTTTCAGACTAAACGTCACTTTTGGCCCCATAATCATACGGTGCAAGGTGGCCTAATATCTGTACAAATATGAAATATACTATATATTTAGTACCAGTAATATCAAATTATCTATGCATCATAATAATACCATGTATCTATCGATTTGAAAAACACATTGTACCACATGTAGCATGTTAAGCAATAGGGCCTATATATGGCCGATATATGACCCCTGACAACACACGCGGGCGTGGTACCGAACACATGATTAAGTGATTGACCACGCGGGCATTTTCTACTTTTCTAACTCCTCACATATCTATCGGTGTCTTTATTAATACCAGCAAAGTTTACTATGGATAAATGTGCTCATTAATGAAAATAAATGTTGATTTTATCCCTTTACCTATCAGAGTGAGCCGTCAAAACAAAGTCTTTTGTTGAATGCGTGCGTCAAACTCGGAAGTGACGTCACGCCTGACTCAGTTCTAGAAAGTTCGTCATCACTGCGAACAGACGCGACGATTTTCGCCAGTTGTACAGTTCGCAGGTGTTTCACCGTCAGTACAGGATAGCATTTTTGTCATAACAGACAAGTTCCTGTGGTGTAACGTTAACTTCCCCTGACTCCTTGCCGTGGATACAGTTCTGAATCAGCGAATGCCCCGCTGAGATTGTGCCGAGGCCACTGACGCCCGAGTTCGAGCGAAGATCAGTTCACAGTCGGTGTACAGGAATGTGCACGGCTGTTGTGAAATCATGGGAAGGTTAACAACAAAGGACGTGAGGACTCTGGCCCAGATTGTAAGTTTGCCATTATTTATTTTTTCGTAACATGACTTGCCGTAGTAAGCACGGCTAACCTGGCAATGTTTCAGGTTTCGACTTCCAGGTCACTGAGTGAGTGCTCGGCAGCCATGTTGCTCCGAGTTTATTTTAAGGGCGTCGGGCACAGGTGACCCCGATCATGTCTGTGTGTTTCCTTTGATAGATATCACAAGCACAAGTAGTTCATGTTAACCACTGGACATAAGGCATATAGTGCTCAGAAGCGAACATGTGAATGGTAACACGGTGAGCTCTATCGAGAAAAAATATCGATTTAATATCGTTAAGGATACTTGATATTTTACCCACCTTTTCGGTCGTCTATACAATGTATATCCAACATAAACGGGAGGAACTACGGTCTAAGGTATAGGATCCTACAATTTTTTTTTCATTACAGAGGAATATTTTGTGTCTTTTGTCGGTAATTTTTCTGTGAAAGACAAAAATTTTAAGGGAAAACATGGCGTACTTGTCTGGTACCACCCTGTACCAGCTTGTTTGTAAGGGGAATCCCCTTAACATTATTCCAAAATGTTTCCAAAATGGCGCCCACCTTTGTTTCAATGTTTTAATCTCTTCTTCTCATTTCTTTCTGTAAAATTTAAAGTATTCAGAATCAAACTAAAACCCTATATACATTTGAATTGACAGATCACACTTTCCGGGATCAATGAATGATAAAACATTAGAGGAATGTATGCCACAGTCTCACAATGTCAGTACAAGGAGTGTCAGTGAAACATGCAGTTCTTTTAAGTGTGCTTTTTGAAGCCTTTTTGTCCGAAATAGTTCTCAGCTAATCTGTAGACTGACAGGGCCAATTTGGACTAGGTTTTAGAATCGGCCAGTGGTAGTGGTGAGGTTGAAGACGACAACATTAACAAGTGTCAGCATTCTAAATATATCATGGTCTGTCACTATGGCAATAACTTACTTGGATGTTGTTTTTCTCTCTTTACACTACCCCAAACTACAGGAATTAAGGTAAGGTATCCTCACACATATTTTTAGATGTTCTGTCAATAGTTTTTGTATGAAGGCTAAATACAGGTTGAAAAGTTATCCATGGTGCAATTGTGGAAAACGTAGCAAAATACAATGTGGGTGAGGGGTGGTGAACCAGTAGTAGCCGGAACCAGCCGGAACCAACGGCTGTGTTTGATATTAACGTTTGATTAGAAACCTTTTCATAGAACTTGATCGAAGTTCTCAGATTTTTTAGTGTTATTGTAGACATACCATGGTATCATCCTACAAAGTTCTGTATTAGTGTGAATTGTACGAACGCTAAGAAAGAACGAATTGTTCAGAAAAAGAATGTCTGACCTGTGTCTGAACTAACACCACTAGTTTTTTTTTTCTTTACACTACCCCAAACTGAAGGAATTAAAGGTAGGATATCCTTACACATATTCGTAGATGTTCTGCCAGTAGTTTTTGGCATGGAGGCTACATACAGGTTTAAAGCTTTATCCATGGTATATGTACACAAACTAGAAATGTGAGGGGGGGGGGGTACTAACAGGATCCAGCCAGAATCAGCCGGAACCAACTGTTGTGTTTGACATTGATCGTTGACCAGAAACCTTTTCGTAGAACGTGATCGATGTCATCAGAGTAATGTACTGTTTATGTTACGTGTTCCAATACTGTAGACACATATATAGTCCTACAAAGTCTGGTCTTTGTAAATTGTACGAACTCTGTTCAGAAAAAAAAACATGGCTAAAACATAAAAATATAGTTTTTCTCGTTACACTACCCCAAACTGAAGGGTGTCCTTACACATATTCTTACTTGTTCTGCCATTAGTTTTAGTATGGAGGCTACATACATGTTTAAAGGCTATCCATGGTATATATACAAAAAGTAGAAACGTGGGGGAGGGGAGGGGTTGGGAGGTCAACCGGTACTAGCCGGAACCAGCCGGAACCAACTGTTGTGTTTGACATTCAAATTGATCGTTGATCAGGAACCTTTTCATACACCTTGATCGATGTCACCAGAGTTATGTAGTGTTTATGTAGTGTTCCAATATTGTAGACACATATATTGTAGATTACAAAGTCCTGTCTTTGTAAATTGTACGAACGCTGTTGAGAAAAATAAAAACATGGCTGACCTGTGTTTGAACTTACACCCATGGATATCGCTCGATGGGCGGTACTACCTTCAACTTGGGAAGGGGGTGAGCTTTTGAGTGTCTCCGCTTATAAGTCAGTAAAAAAAATCGCTGGATCCAAAGTGTTATGCACAGCAATATGCGAATCAAAAAGCAGTCAATGTCCCCAGTACACAAAATATACGCATAGCACGCAAGTAAAGGGGTGCGTGGTGTTATATGATAGGCCCACCTTTGTTTACAAACTATTGTGTGACTAGTCAGACAGAAATGAGTCATAGTCAGGGGCCAGGCGAAACGCGGGAAAAATTGAACTAGAGATAACTTCGCCACCGTGGCGCAAAAAATAATTTAGGGGTCTATGGCGTCTATGACCTGATTAGGACGGCAGGACAAGGGCTTAGAAAGTAGAAGGGTAATACTAATTCTTTTGGCTGGGTATTTACATATTCAATGTCACGTAATGAATTTAGAATTAATAGTAAGGGGTATCAACGATTCGGACAGCTTTTAGTATGGCTGCGTTACTTTAGATAAACTAAATTTGAATAAGTTGTTGATCTAATGAATTGATCAATTAATCAATCAGTCATTCAGCACGTCAGCAGAACGTACTGCGCCTGCGCCGAAACCCGTTTTTAACCGTTAAATGTTGCAACGTTAAGCATTTTTCCTGTTGTAGACGATATCTTTCTCACACTACATTTCAAAACAAGAGTTCCACGATCTCATACCTTCGCCAAATGATGTTAACCCTTGCGGGTGACGAATTATACAATTTTAATCATTGATTTTGTAAATAAGAGCCTCATTTGCATGGATTATATCAGTTGATCATATTCTCCATCCAATGACAGCCTTATCATAACAAAAAGGCTATTATAGCACTTCCTCATAAATTATGCAAATGAGGTCATGATTTGAATAAATTATGTTTATTAATGTTCACCTTCACTTAACTTCCAAATGGGGCAAGTATGAAATTCGGGGTGCAGCAGTTATAACTATGGAATTATAAGAATTTGACATTAATTATGCAAATTAGGTCCTCATTTACATAATCTATATCCTCAGATGTTTTTCTCGTTCTCAAGTAGATGTCAGAAGTGTTTCATAGTTCTATTATCGAACAAAGCAGATTTATAGAATTTCCTCATTGATTATGCAAATTAGCTCCTGATTTGCATAATTGCCATCTGATTATGTAAAGCATCACTTCAACTACCTACATACCAAAAATCACGACAATACATCAACCGGTTCTTGAGTTATCGTCCTTCAAATTTTTTGCAACAAATGCTCCTGCAGTTCCAGAACAAGGCGCTAGGGGACCCAAACTCATGTCACTTTTTCCCTACCCCAAGAGCTATCTACCATCCAAAATTCGTGACCCTAGCATGTCCAGAACATGAGATATCAAAACCGGAAGTTCAGCTGCAGTACCTAGGAAAGCCGCCAGGGGGCCCAAAATCTAATCATTTCTAGGTCTCATGAAGACCTACCGACCTACCAAGTTTCATTCCAATCCATCCACTGCTTCTCGAGTTATCTTGCTAAACCACACACACACAAACACACCCACCCACACACACACAGACAAACGCTACTGAAAACATAACCTTCTTGGCGAAGGTAACAATAGGGACGCCATCCTTAAAGTGCTAATCACAATGCATTATACGGGTTTCACGCAGTCACTGTGCATTTTCCCTACGTGTTATAGCAAATAATTTTTACTCAAACAACTAAAAATTCTGAATTTTGTTGTTCATACAAGTTAGTAGTCACGAGTAACGCAGTGTCTTAAGTAAATTGTTTTCCCAGCATCTTATGTGAACATGTCATTTTTACAGGCGTTGCTGCTGGTGACTTTTGCCCGTGGGCAATCGTCATGTCCAGCGGGAATGTACCCGGCATGGGGAGAGACAAGGTGTTGTACAAGCAAATGTGGTCCAGGTAGGCTCATGCATATGGCATTGGCATCTAGTTCTTAGAACAAAAGACAAAACGATTTTACAAAGTCTTAACTAAGGGTCAGCTTTTATTGTGTAAGACTATTATATATTTTTTTCTTTTTCAATTTTGCTATGGAATGTTTTTTTCATACAAATCTGTTAGTACAAAGAAATTCCACGTCTTTGCCACTTTTAGTATCTATTTTCATTCTCCCAAGAACTGATGTACTAGAATGTACATTAATTCTGTAATTACCTCATTTCTTCTCCAGTAAATATCTCCTAATTATTACATCACAACATTTAAAAATCCTAGACCGTCCTCTTATTCAGCTGATCAGATCTGTAAAATATGAGGCGAAAGGTAAAAGGGCGAAAGGGAAAAATCCTCTGCATCGGACATTTAATAATTTATTGCACTTTTTGTTTGTTTAGTGACTTGTTTCTTCCCAGGAAACAATCTGACACTAGTTAAAACGCCTGACACTACTTAACCATTTAAAGTTAACGCTTTTGTTTTAACACAAAGGGTTGTTCTCAGCTAGAGCTTTCGACCAGGCGCCTTTTTTAATCAGACTTTTGGAGAAGACCAGAGTGACTGGTCGAAAGCTTTAGATGAGAACAATGCTTTGTGTTGAAACAAAAGCGTTTTAACACTACTTAACCATCTAAAGTTAAAACTTGGTTAAGTAGTGTCAGACGTTTTAACTTTAAATATGTAAACACGCGTACGTATCATGATGACACATTACTGTATTGCTGATTATGTAGGAACGAAGATCGCTCAGTCCTGCACCCATAACGACCCAGACAACACAGTATGTGAAGCCTGTGGACCAGAATACTACAACCCGTACCCAGACCAGCTTCACTGCCGGAGGAAGAACCTGTGCGACAGTGACAACGAGGAGGTCAAAGTCCTTGGCAACTCGACCGTGAACAACCAATGCCAATGTCAGATTGGCTTCTTCTACAGAGTGTCCGAAGTGTGCATGAGCGGACCCTTGTGTCCGCCTGGACGTGGGGCAACGAGAACTGGTGAGGATAACATTCTAATACATAATCCTAAAGTATGCATGAAAACATCTTTTAAATGCTCCTGTCACACACACATAACCTTCCCCCGACCACCACCAACCACCAATGTTTGCAGTAGGTTGGTTACAGATTTAGGCCTCACCTATCTTCGAATCGATTCAAATTTGAGTCAAATGTGAGTCAAATTTGACTACCAAGTAAGCCCCGACAACTGCCGGCCTTCTCCCGAACACCAGTCAACCAGTATAACCATGGCCTAACCTCCCGTCCGCTCCCAAAAGTTCTAAATATTTTAAACATTCGGCCAACGTACTCCAGACCTACTATAAACTCGGCAGTGTTCAGAAGGCCATATTCAGCAATGTGTGACAGGGTTTTGACTTATTGGCAATGGCCATCATCATATCACAATTGCTTATGACTTTCACGATTCATTATCACTCAAAACCTTTCTCATAATCAATGACAGTTTCAAGTTTGTGACGTTTCATCTGATTTTGCCTTTCATGCATGATAGGGCAATGTGAGCCTTGTCCGCATGGTACATTCAGCAACCTAACATCGCACGTCCAACCATGTATTCCATGGCAAAGGTATGTACAACCCACTGATTACAGTGCATCGTCAAGTTAAAAAAAATATTCAATGAATATTCAAATGAATACAACTGGACAAACATTGTTTCTTGTTTCCAGCCCACTCGCTTTACCTCCCACACACCCCCTCAATCCCTCCACTTAAAAACTGTAGCATTATGCCAGAATTAGGAAAGCATCAGGTTTTCATAGAATGACTGACTTTTTGTTAATGTTGTTTGACTCATGCTCATAGCGTCGTTCCTCCATTATATGAATGACATTTCTCTACCATCTTTAGTTGTGGAATGCTTGGATTCTTACAACATCGACCCGGGACCAGCACATCTGATGCTGTGTGCATCTCTCATCCCATCGACGTGTTTCTGCCCACGGAACAGCCTGTGATTAACGCGGTTACCTACAAAGATGACGGTAACAACACGGATAATATCACTGGTAACTACACATACGTCTTCCATCTGTTATCCTGCAATAAAACTTTCTTCAACCATATTCAGACGGGAAGAGGGCGGTGTGCGGGAATCTTACATTTTGGATAGCGCATGAAAAGAACGGCTTAAACTAAACCACAATACTATGTGACTTATCGGGAAACAATTTCATATTAGTAATTTGAGTTTATAACATTTTGTGTTGCTATGTCATTACGGTGTTTTCGTAGGCATTTTTGTTTTCATGCGCAGAATATAGTTTTTTTTTGGCTAAAACAAGTTTTCTGGTTTTTATATTACATTGGACAATCACCTTTTCTATAAGTAACTACGTGTTTTGTATTACTGATTACATGTGATTTTCATTATTTATGTATATGTATTTTAAGTTTATAATTCATGCTAATTTGGTAATTAAAATCAAAGATGGCGGACCTTACATGTTAAGCTTAAAAGACCAGGTGGCCTTTTATAGACATTTATCCCCACCCATTTTCCTTCATTTCCTTAGGTGAACGGCAGCCTACGGCACTTGAACCTAAATACATCATAATCATCGGTGTCTGTGTGGGTGCGGTCTTGGTGCTAGTAGTCTTTCTGGTCGTCTGTTTGTGCAGAAGAGAAACTGAACAACACATTGGTACGATGGACGCTGTTTTTACTTTATCTACTACCTTTGCTATCTTCATATTGCCACGAATACATTTAGATGGGATTGAATTAAGCTTTAACTTTCAGAAGGAGTGCATTGCCATAGAAATAATACGCTGTCTCAAATGATTGACAGATTTGGAGGATGGGCAGCACGATGAAAGCAAGACACCGCTAGGCATACAAGATGCCGAGGACGTGAACAGCCAGCAAAAGGACCCTGACGTGGTCCAGAACATGGAGCTGGAGCCTCTAACGGGCGACTACAGGCAGCCGACTGAAGAGGTTCGTATTTACACTGCCTTCAAGTAATAAATTTATGAAGACACTTATCATTTATACTTATACATTAAACAAATTGGTTAAGTACAGGCCACAACAAACAAATAGCTTGTATATACTCCTAATAGTATACATCCAAATGATCAAGCACTATGATTACAGTCAACCAAGCAGCGACTTCTTATTGTTTCTCTGTAAAAACACACATGTTCTAGTATCAGGGGTTTATGGCTTATTGGAAAGTGAATTTTCAAGTATTACTTAAAATGTGATTTGTACAACAGCAATAAGAAAGTTCAACATTTAGATAAGAGAGTTGAACATTTATACTTAATAGGTAAAAGTAGTAGGGAAGTTCGAATTCAACTCAATTATCTATTATCTACAAGTTCAACTCTTATTGTTGTACAAATTATATCACAATTAATATGATGTTGATCTTTGTTCAATTAATATGATGTTGATCTTTGTTTTACTTTAATTACATTGTTGACAATGTTATTTGAATGTAAACATGCTACTAACTGGATAATAAGTACAACATACTTATATTTTAAAATATCTGCAATGAGCAGTATTAGGAAACCTTTTTTTTCTGATAATAGGAGGGGAGACAAGCGGCTGTTCCACCAGACGATGGAGTTGAGACAGGTGACGACTCCAGCATGAGTGACTCACTCTCTACCCTATCCCGGGAGGGCGGGGCTGAACCAAACAGTGACGCGGAGCAAACAGACCCCAAACTGAGGTTCAGCACAATGCAGTACTCCAACCTGATTGGAGGTGAGCAACATTCATTCAAAGCTTTTTTTACACCGTAAAGGAGGTCAGTGATGGCGTATTGTAATTAAGAAATTGCATCCGTACGTGATATAAATTACCTCATGGTCCCTTTGCTGGTATGCAGTTTGGAATGTTTTATGCTAGTATGTCCAACATGATGACTTTGACTTCATTCGGATCCACATTTGCGCACTGTTTTTCCGCACCGTAGCAATTTTATAGGTCATTTAATTTATATATCGGTAAAATTCATAATTACTTCAGAATTTCGTCCTATTCTTGTTTATAACTGTAAGTAGTTATAGAGTCCCCAAATTTGCTTAAACGTGTATGGTAAACGATCACTCTAAACATCAATGGCCTTGTTAGCAACAACATTTATTCCTATATCATCATGCAGTGGATATGGAGACAACTAACTACATTGAGGACCACCTGGGAAACATGTACCTTGAACTAGCCACGCGACTTCCACTCCGCCATGGATGTAGCTTCACCAAGACAGACTTAGACAGCCTTCGGCACACATACGCCTTTTATAGTAAGAAATAATATGATTTTTATGGTGATTTTGAGATTGACCATCATGACAATGTAATGATGAATCCTATAGCACTTTACACAAACAAGAATTCGGAGATACATGTATCATAACTCCATAGAATGCTAGAGAGCTTTTAAAACTATTTAGTTTAGGGGGGATTTGCGTCAATGATAATGAAAAGAAAGATTTTGCTATTACTAGAAGCACGGCCTCCATTTTCCGCTGGGGTAATTAACATATATATTAAAGTAACCAAAATACAAACAACAATGCCAGACTCACTCATTGAATAGAGTAGATGAGATTGATGTTACCAATAGATACTTTTTTTATACTTTACTTCTGTGCCAATCAGTTACATAGGGCTAAAATGTTCATATGAAAGAAATTTTAGCGGGCTTTGCAACATTATATTATTATGTACATTCTTATAACTACAGGTCTGAAAGAAGCCATAAGAGATACAGTCAACACGTGGAGGATCAAGCAGGGGGAGGAGGCAAGCTTGGAGGGACTGCTGGTCGGACTCACCGCTTGTGGCAAGGATGACATGGTCAGAGATCTATGCAGAATGAACAACGGTCAGCAAAATACTTGGCTATGCTCCATTATCGTCAACTTTGACATGTAAAACAAAGCAGTGAACTCTATATTTGTATTCTGATGATTGCAGCTATGACCGATGACAAGTAGGAAAGAAATGTGATATATGTCTCAGTAAAACGTAGTATACATACAAATGTTTCATACTGAAATCATCCTATGTATGTAAACCTGTGTTGCATGCTCACTCCCAATATGTAGCTCTCACCCTAACATTGCTCGACCTGGGGACATGGGAAATTGGTTACTTGAACAGTTCAATGGTTAAGAAATTGTAAAACTTTCTCTTTGCTTCTCTCAGCTCGGAGGCCCAACAAGGGGAAGGCAACAGCCACAGCAGTATAACGCGAGAGAGAAAGCACCATGCCAAACTTGCACAAGATAATTTGAGGACGTATTTACAAGATGTTTGGTAGCGTGTTCGAAAGGTGCCTGTTATATATATGTTAACGACATGTAGGGATGTGTCTTTTGCAACATCTTCCCTGACGTGATGTTGTCAAATCCTATTAAACGATTGCAGTATCAAGTCGCCTCTGTGACGAACAGACCTCAATCTATATACATACTATGTTAAATCAGCTATTTATGTTGCCCTGTTGCTTCTAAATAAAATCCTTTGTATGTGCAATGCTACATTTTGTCATAACTCTTTTGCTTTATACCCGGTTGTTTAGAAATCGTAAAAAGAACTATGATCTTTTGAAATTATGTATCATTAAAACACAGAATCAGTAAGATGTTGAAGCATTCATGTGCTTTGATATGGATGTGTTGACGCTGCTTCAAAATGTACTATGTATATCTAAAGAACACGGGTTCGTGTTGTATCAAATCGAGTATCTGACAAAGAGCCATGAGTAACAAACAATCATCGGCTGAGTTTTAGCAATGCACAAATGTATCTACTCCTGTTGACGTTGTTTCTAACTTATTTATGTGCAACATATTCTTGTAAATATTGTACGTTTGCGCAACTTGAATGCATAATATATTTTCCTGTAAAAGTAAACACTGTACTAATACGTTTGTGAAGATGTGAAGAACCAGTAAAGTTGCGTTTTAGAGTTTTTCACTGAATAAGAATTTAACAGTCTGACTATTCAATTCTTATAACCCAGTGGAAAAATCTGAAACACTCCTTTGTTGATTCTAACCGTATACGTACTCATTAATACTTTTGTTTACTTTTGCAATGTTCAGAAAAAGAAAAGGAGTAAAGCTATTATGACATTAAGACATGGCTGATATGGACATGTTTTCTTCGTATCGTTTACTGCTACTCACAACAAATCACCCTCTTTATACATAGCATCAGCCCTAAACTTAGGGCAGGCCAAAATTGTCAAACAACACTATAGCTAAGGCATACAAACTGATTTCATAATACTAAACATGTATTTTCACGTTTCACTTTTCTGGTCACCTTTTTAACGTAGTGAGTTAAATCAATTCTACCCCATAGTATAATGATAACAATCTTGTTGGGAGTGACTTGTTCGCCACCCTACTACCACTCTCACATAGGCGTAATGTTGCAAGCCTAGCGTTATTTTATCGCTACCTCCACTGTAAATACTCCGTGGAACTTCATTTGCTAGTGCCTCCACTTCGAACATTCTCAGCAAGGACAGTCTTGCCACTTCCACTGAAGCAAATCACCCTTTCTTCCTCCATACAGCACCTCTTAGTTCCAGAGGAAGTTTAAGAGGAAGTTCCATGCTGAAAGCTTCTTTCCAAGAACAACATCACTTTGGAATAAGCTACCTGGTGATTCCCCTATGAGTATAACCTTAAACTCTTCAAGTCTGAGGTCAACAAACACTTGTCCTCACTAGCTGTACTGTAAAACAAAACATTGTTTTGTGGTGATCCATGAAGTAAATAGAAAAAAAATGCGATGTCGCTGACGGAAAATTGTTCCGTATTTCATATCATAGGCCGGTTCTAGCTAGTTCGTAGTAGCAAAAAAAAAAGGGACTCTACAAGTATGAAATGCTAAGAAATGTTAATATCAGACACATTTCGTCCTCAAAACTTTTGTATCGCTGCCCTGGAATTGCATCGAATTGTCTTAAATAATATGGTTACATTTATATACATGTATAATAGTTTTACACACAACGGCCATTAAACTGCGCGAATATACTATTGATGTTACTCAACATGCCCACCGAGATACATAATATATTACATACATTAGCGGCCTATCAGCCTGGCTCTATATGCCATCACATACAACTCTCCAGTTCTCTCTGTCTAACATCACATTTCCTAACTATTCGAGTTCTATGCCAGCGTCTCTAGTTAAGGTATCGGTAAAAGTCAGCCTTCTACAGTGTACTCGACCTCTTGGTTTCCAGAGAAGGACAGAAGAAACGATTCCCTGCTTAGCTCGATAACAATGTCCTGCCGACCAAGATAACGACAGATGTAGCATTGATTTTTAGCACGCGGGGAATCCCTAGCAACACGGGACTTTACGTCTGACGTACCAGTCTAAACCGGAATGTCTGATGACCTTATAACCTTTGAACTACTTCTAGTGACCCCTGGTTGAAGTTTAACCCTTTATTTACCTGCTGTGTACCAACGTTTAATCCACTGGCTTCCGATATCGAATCTACACTTCACTCTTGCAAGCTTCGAGAAGAATGTGTCGATGTTTTTGTAAATGCAAAGCTTAAACATAGTGCGCCACAGTGAGCGCTGCTCAGCTGGCTTATACACACATGACCCCGTCTACATACCTGTGCGCCCACGTAACCGGTAACCGGTAAGGGCTTTCTTTGTCTAGTAACGACGGCTGGGCCCCGCAGCAACGGTGGGAAAAAGGCGTCGCGCAGCAAACTCGAAAGCAAACCTCACGCTTGTACCGACGGCACATAGTTACAGATCTTACGTGTTCTAGTCCTTTGGAGGAATAGGACGATCTGGACTGAGATCTTACGTAACCGGGCTGTTAAGATTTGGAGGCCGCCTTGCCTGAAGGGTCAATCGGGGGCGACACTTCGGAATGCTACCACGGTGGGGAACAAGATGACGGCACGTCTTCTACACAACGCTGCTTTTCTCCTGCTGTTTCTTACGGTAAGGGTACCTTATTTTTTCCCTCAGAACACTTAGAGTTTACCAGAAATGTAATGGCTATTTTATACAACAGGATGATGCGAAATCAGGTACTATGCCTCACCGTAAGACTTCAATAAATAAAGGTGCGATATGGCTGTTACTTACTCGGTGTTAAAAAAAACCATCTGACCTTACGGATCGTATTACCTGGCTAATCCGACTTAGTGTAGGGATTCCTGCTGGCGATTAGACCTTTTTGTGTTCCTGAAAAAGCTTAGCTTGCTAGGGTACATGTACGGTATGTCAAGACAGATCGCCCAAGCTAGGAAACCGTTTCGGACAACACAAATCTCGTCCTTTTTTTTGTCACGTCCAAGATGTGTAATAATTTTACAGAAGGAGGGAGGGAGGGGGGTCTTCCAGGTTGTATGAGGTCTTCTGTGCTGCCCAGTGAATGCCTCAAAAGCAGAATGTCAACAATCGTTGATGGACGGGATTATTAAGTAAATGATACCCCCACTAATTGAAAGGTTCCCACCATACGGTACTGAGCACACATTATCACACGAAACAGGTACTACTTCTAGTACCGCTAGCGTAGTTTCAAATCACAGTATACAAAGATGGCGACTTCGAAAAGGTTCTAAATGGTAATACATCGCAACTATAAGCAACAATATATCGTCAAAGCTTGTATTTCGTTGGGACGTTTTTGGTCTCTTTTTAAGGGTTTGCCAAAACCTTCATGGTGTTTGCTAAGAGCCCTCTAATCTGTTAAGTCAACAGTAACCTAATTTTTTCCTGCTAGTAAAGAGCGCTCCGAAATAGTCACTGCTGAGGTAACGGGTACATAGTAGCCTCTACCAGGCACTGCGGATCGCTGGGAAAATAGTAGAAATTGGCCGAAATAAAGGATAGTATACCAGAGAAGATCCCGGATCCAATTCGCGACCCACGGATCTTCTATGGCCCGGGATCTTCTCTGATACACTATCCCGTTATTTCGGCCAATTTCTACTATTTTTTCCAGCGATCCGCGGTGCCTGGTAGAGGCTAGGTACCGGACATACAGATCAGGCTTGCCCAAGCGTGTTTTAAAACGCCTTGTTTTAACAGTCCTTGTTGGCCAGACCACCTATGGAAAACTACAGACAGGCAAAAATGTATCCCACGCCTGCTATGTTCAACAAAGCCTGTTGTTCTGTTTACAATGGCCGTGTGAGAGGAAGTGTAACCCTACACTGTTTGGTAAAGCCGGGAGCTTTGCCGAGGGCAAGGAAGGATGGAAACCGAACTACAATCCTGAGTTAACCATAGTTTACGAAAGACTATGCATGATGTACAAAATGACTAACAAATAAAAAATGTACCTAATACCAGCTCAGAAAACGGAACAAGAAATAGTCATGCCTTTAAGTACCAGCCCCAGAGTTATCAATCAAGGATTTAGGTGTTCAAAAACTCGTTTTAGAACTATCGTAGGCTGGAACTCACTGACACTAAGTACAGTAGGGGTATCATCACTAGACAGCTTTAAACAATGTTTGAGGTATTCAAGGGTTAGGTGTAACAAGTCGTTTGGTGTAATGCAGCCAATTGCCGCCGCGCCGCCTGCCTGCGAAGCCGGTGTGTTACGCAGGTTATACCAGCTTTACAGATAAAGATAGAGAGACCAACAATGCGGGTTCAAAAATAGTAAAATTTAGCCAAATAGGGAGAATAATTGACGAGTTTAGCTACTACCGTAAGGTTTATTTGTTCATTTCGCACGGACTGGCTCTACTAGCCAACTATTTCCCCTTTTCGCTGAGTCCTACGGTACGTACCCCGGTAGGTAAGCCTTGTGGGAGCTAGGTAAACCCCGCTGGCTGTTTTTTTTTTAAATTCAAACATATAATCACAAGAACGTGGTGACGACACAGTCAGTTTTTTCAACCTGAGCGAAGTGAGGAAAGTCGTGCAAAGTGCCTTGCAAGGGCACAAGATCGATGGCATGTCAGGACTCGAACCCGGGACTTCTTGGTTCCGAGTCGAGCACTCTGCCGCTACGGCCTACACGACCCCGCTAGCTGTTTTGATTGTGATTCAAAGTCAAATCGGACTGATTCACAGAGCTTTGTCTGCCACCAGATGAGTCATTGTGTAAGGTCAGACATGGCAACAATGGCAACAGTCTACAGTTCCGCTTAGTAAAGCCGGGGGATTTGAAGAGGGAAGGAATTAGCATGAATGAAAGAATGGACAGATGAATGAACGACTGGATTATGACAACTATACCTCTAAACATAATCGTAGGACAATCCCACTGTTGTGTTATATTATATACTAATAAAGGTTGACAACATTGCATGCAACTCTGCGACCTAACAGCAGTCTACTGGAACTATAAGCGATACTTAACCAGTGTCATCCCTGCAATGACCAAATTATTAAATTGACTGTAACTTATAATTAGTGTAATCATTTTAACCCTATTAAAAAAAAGACAGATATAAGTTTCACCTCTACAATTTGATGAATATGACGATATAACTATCGTTTGTACTTAAACTGCCTTGAATGTTGAATCGTTGTTTTTTCGTGGACTCAAACGATGTAAATGTCATCCAGGAATTTTCGTTTTATCTCTTGTATTGAACTAAATGGCAGTATTTTGTAACAGTAAATAATGTAGAACTGTGTCCCTACAGGTCCTGTTGTCGGTGTGCCAGGCGCAATGTCCGGACGGACAATACCAGCCGTCCGACAAAGACTGGTGCTGCGACAGCAAATGCCCTGCAGGTGAGTCATTCAGCTCGTTTTCAGAGTCACATGGAAAACATGTTCGGATTGTGGTAGATTAACTTTATCAATGAATGAAAGACCTTTATTGTACGTTTTTGCTCTAACAAGATAGGTACAAACAGGTCATGAATAGACAAGGAAAAGGATACAGCAATGACACTTAAACTATACATAGTATTACCAATTGGCTAGATAGGGTACTTTAATTTAGTACTGCATCAATGGCACATTTGTGACGAAACTATTGTGTGCCTGTTACACAAGAGTTATTATGATTTCATATATGCATAAGTGCACAGTTGGTACAGAGTGATATTAACAAAAGGGTGTTATTTTGTTTCCTAATTATTGCATAAATTTATGTTGGAATGGACTCAACCAAAGTTGACTTCGGAATGTGTTCTACTATCAACATGTCATTCTCTGTGATATTTACATGGAAGTTTACATATGTTGTAGATATTATCGAACCATCAGTGAATCATCTAGGCCATGTTGTTTTGATTATATGGATGGCATCCTCTGGAAACCCCTAAACTGATGCGAGCGTGCGAATAAAAAATTGTTTGGTAAAGAAAAAAGTTGCTTTCATTATCAAATGTAAGTGGTTTTGAAGGTTCAACAAATGACACAGTATGGTATGGCGAATAATCTAGTCTTGAAATTCATTTCTTTACATTTTTGTCTTTTTCGTTTGATTTTGGCATCGTTTTCCAATATTCTTTTTGCCACTTACGGTATATATTTGCTCATTTTTCAACTGTTTTGTACGACTTACAGTGTGGTTAAAAACTTCATGCGCGCGCAGATATCAATCATATAATCAAATCAAAATGGTCTTATTCACATTTACAACGATTGTACTGCAAGCTATAGGAGGGAATCTTAGATCCGAAGATGTTTCCGTTATTTGTGACGTGAAACACTGGCACGACTAGCCTAGGCTTGTTTGATTAGCCCTCAACTTAAATCGTTTTGGAAAGCGGCTACTTGTATGCACTTGACCCTGAGTACTGTGACCTCGCATGCAGGATATTTACAATGCCGGTGACCTTTTATTATTGTAGTGGCTTACATCGTGTTATCTTCTATAGACAGGCCTGTGCAGCTACCACAGCATGTGAATATACATCTTATTACAATACAAAGCTATCTAATAATAGTATGCGTATAGCCCTACCATATGTTTAGACATCGGCTTATTTTTTACGTGTTTTAGGCGTTTTTATCTTTATCGTTTTTGGCCAAGTTGATTTGATTAATATATGCATATCCGCGCGCGCATAAATTTTCGTCCGTTTTCAACCATACTGTAAATCGTACAAAACAGTTACAAATATATAACGTAAGTTGAAACAAAATATTAGAAAACGATACCAATGTTGTAGATCAAATGAAAAAGACGAAAATGTTAAGAAATTAATTTGAAGAGTAGATTATTCGCCATATTATAACCTGTGTCATTTTTTCAACCTTCATTACCACGTAGATTTTTTTATATAAAGAAACGTGTTTTTTTTTTGCCAAACTTTTTTTATTCGCACGCTCACATCAGTTTTGCGGTTCCCTGAGGATGTCATTCATATAATCAAATCAACATGGCTTTATTTATTTTTTCGCGTTCGGTGGCGTTATACTCTCTTGCCAATTTGATAACAATAACTGTCTTGCCAATATGATACTGTGTCGTAGCCACCAAAACATATATCTGTTGTTTTTTTTTTTCTTTCTTTTTTTAATCTTGGAGATTAATAAAACGTTACGTCTTTATCACGTTTGTCATGACAGGAACACGTATCAAACAGGACTGCCCGAAAGACAGACCAGACGATGTGACGTGTGAACCCTGTAACCCCGCGGACCCAGCCCGGGACAGCTGTAGGAGCGGTGCCCTGGAGCAGCAGTACCCCACACCTGCAGCACAGACGGGAGACAACACGACATCAAGTCCCAGAGACGAAGGTGAGTGGAGAATCTAAACACTTAAACTATAGCTAAGTCTTTTGCAGATTTAGGCGGAATAAAGAATTTGCAAACGCCCGCCACTTTCAAGAAACCTTTTTAACGAGAAGTTAGTTATATCTCCTTCGCACTAGAGGTGAAATGAGCCGAAATGCCGCCTGAATAAAATGTATTGAATACTCCCGAGTCCCGACCATTCGAAGTGCATTCTTAAAATTTCAGGATGTTGTCATACTACGGTTAGAATAAACTAAACTGCCCTTTGGCCCTTTTACATATCGTATTAACCTATGTACTATATAGTTTTTTAGCATGTAAACATTCGAGACGGCCAGAAGAATGGACAGAAATATATAATTTGGAAAGTAGTGAGAATTTCTAGAATGCACTACAAATGTACAGGAATATACAAAGAATTTACATTCTGCATCTTGTGTAATGAAAGGTGTAATTATTACCTAGGTGTTACAATGGACTTTTTGATGTGAAACTTCAACATATGCACCCATCCCAACTGAGAAAAGTTGCAAACTGTTTCGAATTTCATTCAAAAATCCTACAACTCTTGCAGCCTTATGCACCTTACACTGCCTTATTAGTGTGTCAATAACAAACGGTTTGCCTGTCTCATTCTACAGAGGCAGAGTCTCCCCCGAAGGTCCCACTGTGGATCATCCTCGTAGCAGTGATTGGGAGTTTCGCCACCATGATACTTCTTGTATTAGGTCCGGGACTTCTCATCATTTGGGTGTACAGGAAGAAACATCCTCCACCACAGAACCAGAGTAAGTTAAACATCTACATGTACATGTACTAGTATATGTTGCAACTGTATACAGTTGCAACATAACGTAAGCAGCACTTTCTAGTCTTTTTATCAATGCAAAAAAAGTCTTACGAAATAATATTCGCCAAGTATATACTTGCCTCAAAGGTATGGCATCCTTACAAATACGTACAAAAGCAATAGGGTTGGAAAGTTTCAGGAAAAATAAAAGCAGGAGTTTACTATTAATTACGCCAAAAAAAGTTATTACTCAAGCAACTGTATACCTTTCGTCTGTGACACTAGGGGCTTGTAGGAGAAGGGTTTATAAGCACGAACTATTGATTAATATTCAAAGTTAGTGAATACTACCTGAAACGTCTGACCGTTCCCGAAATCATATACAGTTGCTTGAGTAACTGTTTATGGCATATCATATTACCCGTTCATCTATTTACTCTATTTCCTTAAATCCTGATGATCACCTTGGTGACACAGTGTGAAAACAGCTCTATTGTATAATAAGAGCACTTTTGATACAAATTAATCTCAATGATTAACCGACAGATGGAACAGGTCCACAAAATGGAGAGCGGCAAACATTCCTGTACAGGAGCGCGGATGGGACAGTGAGGATCAACCGGCCCAGACCGGCCCAGCCTGCCGCGGTGGAGATCGAGATGGAAAGGCTCAACACAGACACCGACAACCACACGCCGATGGGAGAGGTAAGGCACTTGTAGCATATGAAGTTTCTATATAACGATAGCTAGATAGGTTTAGCTGTTGGTACAGCTACATCACACACTGACAAGCAGCTTGGAGGTTCCAACAGGTTCCAACAAGTTAAAACTTTGAGACTTTTGACAGCATTTTAGTTTTTAAAACAGCTTCTTTCTTCTTCTAAAACAGCTAACAGACAAATGACAACATAGTAGACTACATGTCACTCTTCATAATAGTATTTTAGTATATTCTCCTTCGATTCTTTCAAGTTTACTCCTCACACCGATATTGGTGTGATTATGATGTGAAAAGATGGGCCAGGAACAACTTCCATGGAAGGCGAGATATCAAATATGAATGACTGACTTCTATGCTTCTGAAAGAATGAAAAATGCTACACTTAAAGCTCGCTTGACGTTTGTTCCAAGCTTTAAACAGCTGCAATAGGAATAGATGTAAATACGACATCGCATTACCAACTCTTTTAACAACATAGAAACTGTCTCATCAAACAATATTTCCTCCAGATTATCATGAAAATTCATCTGTGTTGGTAGTAATCATAGTAAAACATTGAACTTTATCCCAACACAAGGGTTACAGAGCGATCAAATTTTCGACGACCACTGTCGTCTTCATCAGGATAATTAATGACCAATCACTTCACAACGTGATATTTCTTCCAGGCTGCCAAAGACCACAGAAGGCTGCCTGATGACGGCATCAGTACCGGAGCAGACGACAGCACCAGCGAGACTCTGTCTCACCTCTCCCAGGAGAGCGGAGAGGTGCAGACATCAAGCGATCTGGACGGGACAGACCCGAGAAGGAAGCTTAGAAGAGCATCACCCAGAGATGCCAACGAGGTCCCAGGTAAGGTTTCTGCACCGATTCTGCAGTGTTTCAAGACCTATTTGTAAGTTGGATATCTCGGCAATCATTTACCAAGCACACAATTCGATTGGGCCCAAGCTACGGTTTAATCGAGATGTTAGCTTTACCCATCTCGGTCTTTAACCACGGTGAGAAATATATGTTTTCTCAAAAAAGCATTCGGTAGGATATTGACAGTATAGATCCAAGAGGCAATTGTAAACAATAAGGAAAATGACAAGTGCATGGGTATGAATTCTGACTTTTCTGTGGATTACCCACAAGTAGTTTTCTCACCTTCACCTACATGTGTTTATATTAGCAAGTACATCTTAGCGCATGAATGTCAATAATGTATAAAATGACTAATAAACTAAAAAACCACTAAGTATCTGATACTATCACGGAAAGGAACAAGAAACAGTCACGCCTTCAAATATCAGAGTTATCAACCAAGAATTGATATGTTCAAAAACTCGTTTTTCCCAAGAACTATAATCGTAGACTGGAACTCCTTGCGCATGCCACCAAACACAGTTGGGTTCATCATCACTGGAAAGCTTAAAACAACTCCTGCAATTAAATATGCAAAGATTAAGTGTACCAAGTCGTTCGGCGTGGTGTACATGTGGCCAGCTGCACCGAGTGTCTGCGAAGCTGGTGTGTTACGCCGAATGACGGTTATATACCGGCTATTATACTGATACAGGTACAGAATGTCACTGAGATATAAAATAAGGTAGACAAAGGCATCTTTGAAGATTCATATTGTGTATAACCATATGTACTTGCAAACATTACTCATGATCGTTCTCATCATCTGTAACTCATTTTTCACAGTTAATGAAGAGACCACGGAGTACATTGTGAGTAACCTAGGCAACAGGTATCTCCGACTCGCCAGATGCCTGCCAGCAACCAGTGGGAACATCTTCTCAGTAACAGACATCGCTGATCTGAGAAAAATATACACATTACACGGTAAGACTCCTTTCAAACTAGTTCAATATTACTTTTTCTTGTTCAATTTTAGTTTTTCTTAGATTATCATGAAAGTTCATCTGTGTTGGTAGTAATCATAGTAAAACGTTGAACTTTATTCCAACACACAATTTACAGAGATCAAATTTTCAGCGACTACTGTCGCCTTCATCAGGATAATTAATGACCAATCACTTCACAACGTGATCTCGCGAGAGTTCCGGTTTACAAACACGTGACCTTATTCACACGACTTTTTCTTGTTCAACATTAGCTTCAATATAGCATTTGTCTTTCAGAAAGCTGGTCTGTTTGTGTTTCAATCCTCTTTTCCGTTTGGTGCTTAGCTTGCATAGTTTCAATTAAATAGACCTGGTTTCAATTAAAATACAAAAAGTGTGGTACTAATGTAATGCAAATGAGTTATTAGTACCACACTTTTTTGATAGTACCACACTTTTCTTCACTTAGTATGGTGATTTAATCACGGAAAATGAAGGGCTCTCATTGGCTTAGGGGTAGTGGCCATGATCTAATAGGAAGATAAAACACTGTAAAAATATAATACCAGACAGTAATTGTAAACTTCATCTGTTCTAACACTTAGAGCTGTCTTGGAAGCGAGAAGTTAAACCTGTACATAGTAGTACTAGTACTAAAGCTACCACACACTGTGCTTGTACATACAACTTTACCACCATGTCCTGTATTTTGTAAGAGCGCATAGACGAACAAATGTCTTTCATTTCTGCATCAATTATGACAGGACCAGCAGAAGCCATCAGAGAAACGATAGAAGTGTGGCAGAGGAAGAATGGTGAGCAGGCAACGCTAGAGGGTCTGCTGATCGGTCTGTACACGTGTGAGATGAACGGGATTGTAGAGCACCTGTGTCAACTAAACGATGGTGAGTGTATAAAACATATTCGTCCTTACCATTCATTATTATTCATTACCACAATCACCTTGTTGCCATTTCCACCCATTTGCTGTTCTCTGTTGTTTTTGTCATGTATTTTGTCACTGTATACCTGTATGTCTGGTGGTGAGGTTAAAGTTAAAATTAGCTCATAACAGCTAGAGTACCTCACCACCATGTCCTGTATTAACCATGTCAAATTGCAAATAATAATAAAAACTGGTGAGTGTAACCCAAGTTGTCAAATGATCATACCCTACCCCAAAACAAATAGTAAGTTAAATGTTTTGGAAAATGCAACGAACAGCAAGTTAAAATTGTATTCCAAAAATGCAACAAGCAGCTACAGCAATCGTTTTTTTAACAATGTATTGGAAAACGCAATAAAAAGCAACAAACATGACTTAGTGTTTCTGAACAATCTATTGGAAATGCAATAAACAGCAACAAACATCAAGCGTTTCTGAACAATGTATTGGAAAATGCAACAAGCAGCAGGCATTGTGTTCTGAACAATGCTTTGAAAAATGCAACAAAGACACCAAACAACAAGCGTTTCTGGTAGTTTCCAGACCTATAATAGAAATTATTCATGAGAGTCAAACTGCCCAAGAGGATTGGTAAATTTATAGAATGAGGTGGCCAGGCGATCATTTGTAGATGTTTAAACCATTTGACTGTACACTAGCTCACCTATATCAATCCCACAATAACAAATTAATGTTAATTTTCTTTTCACAGTTCACCTTCCAGATTGGTTCAGTTGATCAGCAAAGCAAGTCGTGATATATACTGACTAGAACTACATGCTAGTCATAACTTGGAACAGAAAGATGTACATCTGTGTGTCACTAACAAAGCTAAAGAGTGATATCAGGATGACTTTTAAGAAAAGTGCACTTATACCAGCTGAGGGTAAACCCTTTGGTTGCTATATTTTCAGCTTGACCCCGCACAGAAATATGTCTAGAGGAAAAAGCTTGTAGGCTATTTACAAAAATTAATGCATAAGTGTAGTGCACGTTCAGCACTACAGCCGTTTACATGTTTTTACAGTATTAATTGTAGTTTCATCACTACCAAAAATGATTTTTCTTGTTTTTCTTGTTTTTCTTAATTCGTGGACAAATTTTCTTACATGAAGAAATTTCAAGAAAAATTAAGAATAAATAAGAAAAGAGCAACAGATCGTTCTAAAATTTTTTTCTTGTAAATTTTCACTACAAGAAACATTTTCTTATTTTTCTTACGTGAAGAAATAATTTCTAGCAGTGATTTTCTCCCCCTAGAATGTTCTAGAAAATTGAGTTAAATGGTCTTGTTTTTCTTGTCTGAAGAATTACTTTCTTGCCATGGTTAAGAAAATACAAGAATTTTCCCTTAAGTTTCTTGTATTTCTCATAGTAAGAAAACAAGAAAGCAGGGTTTAAAACAAGTCATAACTAGAATAACATTCTTGAATTTTCTTGTTTTTCATATCAAGAAACTTTGAGAAAGGAAGTTCTTGCTTTTCTTGGGCTGTGTCAGAAAAAAACAGAATTTTGATCTAACCTTTCTTGAGTATATTGCTTAGAAAAACAAGAATATTCAAGATATTGAAACGAGAAGACAAAGATCAAGTCATAACTAGAATAACATTCTTGAATTTTCTTGTTTTTCATATCAAGAAACTTTGAGAAAGGAAGTTCTTGCTTGTCTTGGGCTGTGTCAAGAAAAAACAAGAATTTTGTTCTTCACTTTCTTGACATATGTTGCTTAGAAGAAAGTGTTTATTGGCAGTAAGAATTTTGGTCTTGAACTGAGAACCAAAGTCTCAAAGATTATAGTGGTATATATATTAAGAATTTCTGTCTTGAGGAAAAAGATATGCATTCTTGTTGTAAGAACATGAAACTTAAATAGAAGAAAGGCTTTCTTGACAATAATAATATAATAGTAATTGATAAGTAATATCACTCTTAAAGTTAGAAAAGGAATCTTGGTGTAAGAATCT